AGGCGAGCCCGGGCCCTTCCCCGGAGCAGGGCGGGAGGCTTCCCGTCGCTCTCGGGACACGGGCCGGGATTCCTTCCCTCAGGTCCCGCCTCCTGCGGTCGCGTGCGTCACCGCCGCCGCGGAGCTTCCTGGGAGTTGTGGTTTAGACCCTCCCTCCGGCCCCCGACGCCAGTGGGCTGCAGACTACAACTCCCGGCAGGCCCCGCGGCGGCCCCAGGAGCCCCGGGCTCGGGGTCCTCGGCGGCCTCAGCCGGTGGTCGCGGCGAGGCAGGGCGGCCCGGCTGGCGGGGTTGAGCAGCAGCGGGGCCGCGGGCGGGCTGTTCCACACACCGAGGCCGCTCGGCAGGCCACTGGCAGATAGACTCGGCGCTTTTCGGCCCCTGGAGCCCCCAGGCCGAGCGGGAGGGTCGCAAACTTACGGGCAAGTGGAGGGGTCGACGGGGGCACTAGGGTCTGGCCGCGACCGGGGCCCGGGGCGGCTTCTCGAGGAAGGGGGATGGGACGGCAGGAGGCGGGGCGGCCCCGGGCTGGTGGGGCGGGGTCACGCTTGGGGGTGCGCGTCCGCCCTGCCCAGTCCGGCCCGGCCCGCCCCCGCTGTCCCCGCGGAGCCTCGGCCGGGACGCAGCGCCGGGCCCTGACGTCTGCAGTGCCCGGGGCGCCAGCCCTCCGGCTCCGCTCCCGGCGGCAGGTCGTGTTCGGTCGCTGCGGCTCCTGCGCGCGCCAGACGGACTGCTGCAGCGGGAGCGAGGCCGCCAGAGCTAAGGGAGCCCTGCGAGGCGGGAGGCAGGCCCCCGGGGCAGCGCTGGGCCTCACGGTGTTGGCTCGGAAATGGGCTTGTAGACAGCGGGCAGCCCGGGAGCAGACCAGCCGGCTTCGTCCGCCCGCCGCGGTCCCGTCGGTGGTGCTAACTGTTCGTCTTGGTATCTCCCAGGCGCCACAGGGCTGGATGGCTCTGGGCTTGGACGCTCGGCAAGGCTAGAGGCCAATCCCCAGGTCTCCAGGCGCCAGGGCTGCAGCCGGCAGGTTCAAGGCGGGCAGGGGGGGCGACTGGACGACCAGACAGGTGAGCTCTTGACAAGCTTGTGCTGTGACGGTTTGGATCTGCTGTTTCATCCTGTGGTTTCTGTTCGATGCCGTGTCAGAGGAGTTTGGGTTGTTTCTGAGTGTGTGCGTCTGTGTGCGGGGGGCTGATCATGTGGCTTGCCAGTCCTCTGCGTTCAGAACCCATTGAAGGAACAAGGCGGGGCGCCGGACAGGCTTTTTCTGGTGGGCACCTGCGGGGCAGGGGCTGAGGCTGGCTAAGTGGAAGCCTTGGCAAATGCAGCCCTTCCTGGCGGGTCCCCTCCTGGCCTGTTGCTCCAGAGGCAACAAGTGTCTGAATGCCTTGCCCCTGCGGCGTGGCCCGAGCAGTGGTTGGGGCGGGACGTCCCAGTCTGCAGGGTACCTGCGGGCTTCCATCTCGTCCGAGATTCAGGTGATGACAGCTCTGTCCTTCCTTCGGGCCTTCCCCCAGCAGGTGTCTTCTTGCTGGGTCAAGTTGGGGTTCCTGGGTGCTCTGTCTCAGGGCTTCCTCCCAGTCGCTAATGGGTCAGACTCCCCAGCACCCAGAATGTCCACCTTTGTCTTAGCCAGACCTGCTGCATGACAGGAGCCTGTGATGCACCAAGTTTTGCCGGTTGACTGTGCCCCACATGGTGTCGCTCAGACAGCATCGCCGGGCACAGCTGGAGGCACAGGGAAAGGAGTGGCGGCCGCCTGTCGCACGTCATGTCAGCGTCGTGTAACTGTGTTCTTCTGAATAAAGGCAACTTGCCAACCTCCTAGCTAAATGGGATTGGATCTTTATGGCTTTTAAAAGTTTTTCCAATAAAATATTCACAAATAGGGAAAACTTCTTGTTTCTATGCTGTCCTAACGTATGTTTTGGAAGTCGTTCTGCCCTCCCAGAGCTGGCGGTTCCTTGAGACCAGAGAGACTAGTGCCCAACAAAACAGACCCAGACGCCTGCCTGTTTGCTTGAGGTGGTTAGATGCTAAAAACGTCAAACTGCTTTTTGAAAACTGTTTTCTGCAGACTTGCTTGTCGGCTGTCTGTGTGCTTTGCTGCGTTGTGTGGGCAAGGCCGCTAGTTTCCGACAGGAAGTCTCAGTGGCTTTCCAATTTGTGACCCGAGAAGTAGCCGCTGAGTGTCTGGAGCGCGGACTTGAGGCTGGTCTGTGTTCTAAGGTGAGTTAACTTTGCTAAGTGTGCGTCTGTCCTTCCAGTCCTGTGCTTTGACCGGCTCAGAGTCTTTCTCTTTTTTTAGAGAGAGAGAGAGAGTGCCCGTGCGTCCTCGCATGTCAGTGAGGGGGAGGGTCCGAGGGAGGCGGAGAGAGAATCTTAAGCAGACCCCGCTGAGCATGGAGCCTGAGGGGCCTGATCTCATGACCCCGACGTCAAGACCTGAGCCGAAATCAAGAGTCAGATGCTTACCCGACTGAGGCAACCAGATGCCTCTGCTGCAGAGTCATTTTATTTTATTTTTTTAGAAGATTTTATTTATTTATTTGAGAGAGAGGGAGGGAGAGAGAGCATGAGAGGGGAGAAGGTCAGAGGAAGCAGCAGACTCCCCGCGTAGCTGGGAGCCCAATGCGGGACTCAGTCCCGCGACTCTAGGACCATGATCTGAGCCGAAGGCAGTCGCCCAACCAACTGAGCCACCAAGAGCCCCCACAGAGTTATTTTAAAAAAATGTCTTGACAGCCTCTGCCAGGGTTTGGGTACCAGGCAGGGGTATGGCCTGTAAACTCTGAGGAAAATGTCAGAATACAGCTTTTCCGGCAAAGGAAGAGACAGAAAGCAGTCTCTCGGTGAATGTTCCCACTGAAGTGGTGCCTTCTCCCTCTGTAGCCTCTCTCGCTTTGGTCACTGCATCCCAACTCCTGAGCCTGGGCCATTCCCCACTTGCCACCCCTCCCCACACACCCTGGTGGGATCTGCCGAAGAAGAATAGTGAGCCCTGATACCAGGAGGGCTGGGCACCTGCCGTCCCGTGGAGCGTGCTCAGCACTGGGCCCCAGGGACGATGGTGACGACTGACAAAGACCAGGCAGATGGGCGGAGCGAAGGGATGGAGAGGCTTGGAAAGCTCCCCAGCCCCCCATGCTAGAATGCCGTGCCAGGATGCTTCCGAGGCCCTGTAGGAAGGGACAGCGGGGGGGGGGGGGTGCTGTTGGAGGCTCCGCTCAGGCCTGAGTCGAGGTGGCGCCGTGCCGGATGGAGACGCTGAAGCAGAGGGCAGGGGAGGAGGCCAGGAGGCTCCTAGCGTAGCTTGCTGCCCTTCTCGGGTGCCCCTGTGTCCTGTTGGAAATGCACCTGTAGTGTGAGGCCCGCGGATCCCTAACGCCAGCGGGTGGGCAGGCTGAGCGGCCGGCCCTAGAACGGCCCAGGACACTTGGGTCCTTTCCTGCCCTGAGTCCTTTATTTCTACGTGGAGCCGATTTCTGGCTCTGCAGGTGGGGTGCCCCTGCCCGCGTGGGCCTGCAGAGGGGCTGTCTGCTCACGAGGTTTGGGCTCGTGGTTGCCTGGGACGAGGCACACTCTGGCTGAGTGTAGCTCAGAGGGGCGTGTGGGAAGGGCGAGGAGTAGCGGTTCTGGTGGCTTCCCAGCGAGCAGGTTCCCGGCAGAGGGAGGCAGGGGAGGGGGCACGCAGGCCGCCAGCTCGGGCCGGGCTGCTCTGCCGAGCTTGCGTATCTGTAGCAGCTGCCCATGGGGACCGGCCCAGCGGGGGTCCGTGGCGTCCCTCCCCTGTCTGGAGCTTGTTGGTGCCTGGGGGTCCCAGGCTTTCTCGGGGTGTTCTTGTGGCGGCAGGCCTGGGCTTGGTGCTGCTCTGTAGGAGAAATTAGAAGCTCTTGGCCCAGGCGCCCCATGTTAGCCGGGGCCAGGGCCCGGAAGGGAGGACAGCCAGGGAGCGACAGGACAGGGAGGCCGAGTGGCCCACGAGGTGAGGAGTTTCTTCATGGAAAGCCTCCTAATCAGTCCGTGGGTTGGGAAGGTTTATCGTTCCAAAACACTCACCTGCTTCTGTGGAAGCCCCTGGAGGTCCTCCATGGGCAGGGTGGAGAGGCCGCCGCCCCAAGGAGCCTGTGCAGGAGGGAGGAGAATTTGCAGAAGTCCGAGCTGGATCCTACCCACGCGAGTCTGGGCCACAGACTGAGTCTGGCCCAGCCCTGCTCACCCTGTGCTGGACACGGGTCTTGGAGTGGAGCTGGGCAGAGGGTGGGTGTCAGATGGCCCATGGGGCTCAGCTCCTACCCCTGGCAAAGGCTGGCCACCACCCCTCCTCTCTGCCCACCAGTGGCCTCCAGTGGGTGGCAGTGTTTCCTGGGGGGGCCAGGCCTGGGTTGCCTAGGGTCGGCCTTGGTGGTAGGGCAGGACGCAGGATCCTGGGGAGGGACCCAGGTAGAGGGGTGACATGTGGTTTCCCTCCCGTGTTGTTGGCCAGTGTCCTGTGGCTGAGGGGGCCCCCGGGCCCTAGTGGGAGCTGGCAGTGACCTGGCTGGTCCTCAGCCACAGCCAGCCAGCCTCAGTCTGCCCCCAGCCTCCTGGGCGTATGGTGAGGAGACGGCCAGGTACACCCGGGCCAGCTGGTTTTCTAGCCTTAGAGCCCTGCTGGCAGCATGGCAGACCCCCTCCAGAAGAGGGGTGCTGATTGCCCTCTTCCAGTCTGGTAGTCCCTGCACCTCTCCAAGTCCTGTTGATTTTCTCTCTTAGCTGTCCTTCAAATCTAGCGGTGTCATTAATTACAAAGAAACTTTAATAAGAAACATACAATACCAGGTTCCAGGGGCGCCTGGGTGGCTCAGTGGGTTAAGCCTCTGCCTTCGGCTCAGGTCACGATCCCAGGGTCCTGGGGATCGAGCCCCGCATCGGGCTCTCTGCTCAGCGGGGCTCCTGCCTGCCTTTCTGCCTACTTGTGATAGGTCTGTCAAATAAATAAACAAGCAAATCTTTAAAAAATAATAATACCAGGTTCTAGGTCATAAGCGATTGGCCTGTAACGAGCAGCCGGATCAGGAGGTAGGACGGTCCTGTGTCGCAGAGCCCCGTGTTGGCCTGCACTGCTGCCTCCTGCTTTGGGAACCTTTTGTAAATGGATCCCAGTGGTGGGCACGTGGCTGCCTTCCTTCAGCGTCTGCAGAGCTCTGCCTCCCAGCTGTGGGCTGTGACTAGTACGGGGTGGGGTTTAGGCTCCCTTGGGGGTAAATCCCATCTCACGACCCAGTTCACCCTTGAGGAGACAGGACGGTGTTGTCGTGAACACAGGTGCTCCTTCTTCTGGTACAGTCTGGAGTGGGTGGGGCCGCAGTCCCCAGGAAGGACCCAGAAGCTCGAGTAACCTCAAGGCACTGTCCCCCGGCCTGGGTAGTGTCCCCCTCGTGAGTAGTGGCCTGGTGACCGGAACCCTGATGAGTCTGGCAGGGGGCACCTGTGCCAGGGCTGTGCCCCTTTACCTCAGGGCGCCTGCTCCGTGTATGTCTGCGTTCCCTGCATGCCCTGGAGACAGGCCCCTGTGGGCAGAGGCGGCTTCTCGGGGCTGTGGCCACTTTAGTCTCTTCATGGTGTCTTGATGGACGCTAGTTCCTGACATGGGTGCAGCCTAACTCACCGGCCGCATGAACAAGAGTCCGTTTTCTTCTGGAAGCATTGTTGTCTTACCTTCGTGTTAATATCTGCCATGCGAATCCACCGATTTCAGAACAGTCGGTGCTGGTAGCCCACTGTGCGCCAACCACCCGGAACTGGGTCTGCTGGCACAGGTGGACCCTCTGTGGGCATTTGCCAGGTCTTGTTCCTTGGGGGTCCGCCATCCTCTCACCAGGACTGCCCCCCTCTACTTCTGCCTGTGATCACCTGGAGGCAGGGTCTCATAGCGGCTGGAGGGGCCTCTCCAGAGGTGCCCAGCTTTCCTCCAGGACAGGTGCCACTTCCCAGACTAGTGTCCCCTGCGCTGGCCGTGAGCCAGGTGAGCCTCCTGCGGTCCATAGCACATGCACTTACCGCACTTCCTTCAGCCTCAGGACATTTGCACATGCTGTCCTCCCCCTCCCTGCCTAGCTCTCCCAGACTTGTCCCCACCTGCCTCCGTGGCAGCCCTCACAGAGCCGGTGAGAGCCTGTGTAGCCTTCTTGATGTGGCCTGAGGGTCCCGTCTGCCTGCAGGTCCCGGAGCGGCCCCACCCACCATGGACCCAGACCCCCAGGCGGGCGTGCAGGTGGGCATGCGTGTGGTGCGCGGCGTGGACTGGAAATGGGGCCAGCAGGATGGCGGTGAGGGCGGCGTGGGCACGGTGGTGGAGCTTGGCCGCCATGGTAGCCCCTCAACCCCTGACCGCACGGTAGTCGTGCAGTGGGACCACGGCACCCGCACCAACTACCGCGCAGGCTACCAGGGCGCGCACGACCTGCTGCTCTACGACAACGCGCAGATCGGTGCGTGCGTGAGTCCACGGTGGCGCCTGGGGCGTGGGGGTGGGGCGGGGCCTGGTGCACCCTGACCCTGCCCTGCCCCCAGGCGTTCGCCACCCCAACATCATCTGCGACTGCTGCAAGAAGCACGGGCTGCGGGGCATGCGCTGGAAGTGCCGCGTCTGCTTCGACTACGACCTGTGCACGCAGTGCTACATGCACAACAGGCACGACCTGGCCCACGCCTTCGAGCGCTACGAGACGGCCCACTCCCGCCCGTGAGTTTCTAGCCGGCGGCCCCCCAGGCCTGGAGCCGGCCTTGGCCCCGGCCACGCGCTCCCCAGGCTGCAGCTTGAGCCCTTCCTGAGCTGCTTCCTGGAAGAGTGACCGAGGTCATGGCCCCTCCAGAGGCCTGGTCACTGACACCAGGCCCCACGTGCCATGGAAGGTAGCCCTGTCCGCTGGAGCGGCCTGCAGAGGTTGGTGCTGTGCGGGGGCGTGTGTCTGTCCTGGCACGAGCCAGGCTGGCTCCCCCGGGCAGCTGTGCCGGGGGCACTGGGATGGCCTGTGTGGCCGGCATCCCCAGTGGGAGCCCCAGTGGCCCGTGCTGGGAACTAACCCAGAGACGCAGCTGGGGACACCCTGCTGGCCAGCCTAGGGGGCTCTGTCGCTGGAGGGGGCGTGCGGAGGGGACGAAGCTGGGAGGATCTCCTGGGCTGGGGCGGCCACCCAGAGGCCCCGCCCACAAGAGGCTGCTGCCCCATCTCCTGGACTGGTCCCCGTGCCTGGGGGAGGGTGTGTGTTCGATCCCAGCTGCCTGCTGGCCAGAGCAGGAAGGGGGACCAGCTGTCTGGGCGCCTCTGGGCAAGCCTGTGTTCCTCACTCTTCTGTTTCTCTGTGCTGAGCCCTCCCTGGGCCAAGCTGTGCGCTGAACTCTGGGGCAACCCTAACAGCTCAGCAGTTCAGTAGGGGCAGCAGGTGTGGAGGGAGGGCGGCACACGTGGAGGCCACGCTGTGAGGGGGCCCAGAGTGGAGGGCACTGACCAGCGGGGCCAGCCCTCCTCCCTGAGAGCCGGGTGGGGCCGGGCTCGCACCCTCCCCTGCCTCCCCGTGGCCCAGCGCCCACTTGCTCTCTTGCAGGGTCACCCTGAGTCCCCGCCAGGGCCTCCCAAGGATCCCGTTGAGGGGCATCTTCCAAGGCGCGAAGGTGGTGCGGGGCCCGGACTGGGAGTGGGGCTCACAGGACGGTGAGTGGGGGTCTAGGCTGCCGCTGGCTGTGTGTGGGCCTTGTGGCACTGGCTTAGCCTGCCATGGGGCCTCTGTCCCCCCAGGAGGGGAAGGGAAGCCAGGCCGAGTGGTGGACATCCGTGGCTGGGACGTGGAGACGGGCCGGAGCGTGGCCAGTGTGACGTGGGCCGATGGCACCACCAATGTGTACCGTGTGGGCCACAAGGGCAAGGTGGACCTCAAGTGTGTGGGCGAGGCAGCTGGTGGCTTCTACTACAAGGAGCATCTCCCAAGGCTCGGTAGGGTTTGGCCCCAAGGACACCACACCCGCCTGCCCGGCTGCCCTCCTGCCCTGGCTGGGTCCTGGGGCAGCGCTGGGCGGGGGCTGGGTGCTGAAGTTGCTGCGTGGAGGGACGCCGCTGGGGGGGGGTGACGCCGCTGAAGGGGGGCCTGTCGCCCGCCCTCAGGCAAGCCGGCGGAGCTGCAGCGCAGGGTGAGTGCCGATGGCCAGCCTTTCCAGCACGGGGACAAGGTTAAGTGTCTGCTGGACACAGACATCCTGAGGGAGATGCAGGAAGGCCACGGCGGGTGGAACCCCCGGATGGCGGAGGTGAGCCGCCCTGCCTGCTGAGCCCCCCCCCCCCCCCCCACATCCTCTGGACCCCCAGCCCTCCCGCTCCACCCAGCCACAGCCTCCGTGACCCGCCACAGTTTATCGGACAGACGGGCACCGTGCACCGCATCACGGACCGTGGGGATGTGCGCGTGCAGTTCGGCCGCGAGACGCGCTGGACCTTCCACCCTGGGGCTCTCACCAAGGTGCATGGGGGGCTGGGCTGAGCCCCGTCTGTTCGCTTCTGCACCCCTCCGTGTACCTCATCGGCTCTGGGAATGCCTTTCTCCAGTCCCTAGGGAACAGGGGAGGGCTTTGTGGGGTCCAGAGGGGCTGAGTTCCGCAGGGAGGGGATCCCGGCGTGAAGGGACAGAGGCAGGTGAGGTGCTGGGCACTGGTGGAGGCTGGGGGCCGGCAGCCCGGGCACTGGCTTTCATCCTGCTGGGCCAAGAAGCCATTGTAGCATTACCGGTGGGAAGTCACCTTCTAAAATGTTCTTCAGTGGTGTGGCATGGGGAGCACTTGGGGCAGTGGAAAGGCCCTTTAGGAAGAGGGTGGACACAGCCCAGGGCGGCGGGGAAAGGGGTGGGCACAGTGCTATGCGGATCGGGGCCCTGGGTGGAGGCGTGTACCCCTAGCACTGGGCTCTGGACCTGGAGTTCTGGCCCCTAGAAGGTGGGGGGGTTGGGGTGGGTGCCATGAGGCCCATGGTTTGCAGTGTAAGTCTCATACAGGGGAGGGCACAGGTGTGGGGGAAGTGGCCAGGAAAGGTTTGGGGATGGAGGAGAAGTGGCTCCTGACCCCCACTCCCATGGTAGTCTGGCCCTGCCCCCTGGTTGTCCCAGGGTCCCACCCCCACCCCCTGTGCCAGTCTGGACTGGCCTTGGCCATGCCGTCTCCTTCTCTGTCTGAGTGTAGGGACAGGCCCACCTTGGCTTTCACCCCCGGAGTTGGCTTTGGTCTTCTCTGGCTGTCACCCCCATGGCTCCAGGGCTGCCCACCCAGGACTGACCTGGTCACGTGTGACTCTCCTCCACCTCTGAGGCAGGGGCTGGGGTCAAGTTCAGGTCTGCCTATTCTGTGGAGGTGCCCTCCTGCTCCATGGCCCAGGGCAGCCACACCTGCCTGGGGGTGCCCCTCACGTGCCTCTCTCTCACTCAGCAGAACGCCTTCTGGGTGGGCGATGTGGTGCGGGTCATCGATGACCTTGACACCGTGAAGCGGCTGCAGGCTGGGCATGGCGAGTGGACAGATGACATGGCTCCTGTGAGTGCCCCGGTGCCCAGCCCCACCTCCCCTCCTGCCCTGCCAGGAGACCCGCCAGTGACCTTCCTCTCTCCCCACGCAGGCCCTGGGCCGCGTCGGGAAGGTGGTGAAGGTTTTCAGAGACGGGAACCTGCGCGTGGTGGTCGGCGGTCAGCCGTGGACCTTCAGCCCCTCCTGCCTGGTGGCCTACCGGCCCGAGGAGGACGCCAACCTGGACGTGGCTGAGCGTGCCAGGGAGAACAAAAGTGCGCGAGCCAGGCTGGGGCGGCCGGCAGGAGGCGGGGCCACGCTGGGCCGTCCCTTAACTGAAGCCCTGCCCCGCCTAGGCTCCCTGAGTGTCGCCCTGGACAAGCTGCGAGCCCAGAAGAGTGATCTTGAGCACCCGGGGAGACTGGTGGTGGAGGTGGCCCTGGGCAGTACGGCCGGGGCCCTGGACCTGCTGAGGCGGCACCCCGAGCAGGCGAGTTCCCGACACCCCCCTGCCCTCCCTTCGGCCAGCCCCGGGGAGCGGGGAGGAGGACAGGGACTGACCCGTGGGCTCTCCCGGCAGGTGGACACCAAGAACCAGGGAAGGACAGCCCTGCAGGTGGCCGCCTACCTGGGCCAGGTGGAACTGGTACGGCTGCTGCTGCAGGCCCGGGCGGCCGCGGACCTGCCAGATGACGAGGGCAACACGGCGCTGCACTACGCCGCCCTGGGGTGAGGCCCGGTCCAGGGTGCGGTGGGGGCGGGGCAGCCGCAGGTCAGTGGGCATCGCGCCCCTCCTGCTCCCTCTCCTGTCAGGAACCAGCCCGAGGCTGCCCACTTGCTCCTGAGCTCCGGCTGCGGGGCCAATGCCCTGAACGGCGCCCGGAGCGCAGCCCTACATGTGGCCGTGCAGAGGGGCTTCCTGGAGGTCGTGAGGGTCCTCTGTGAGCGCGGCTGTGACGTCAACCTGCCCGTAAGTGCTGGGTCCGCTGGCCCTGGGCTCAAGGACGCAATGGTGTTGACCTTCCTGTCGAGTGACCCCTGGGTCCCCGCCGGCAGGACGCGCATGCCAACACGCCTCTGCACTGTGCCATCTCAGTGGGCGCTGGCGCCAGCGGCATCGTGGAGGTCCTCACTGAGGTGCCGGGCATCGACGTCACCGCCACTAACAGCCAGGGCTTCACCCTGCTGCACCATGCGTCCCTCAAGGGCCACACGCTGTGAGTCGGGGGGGAGGGGCACACCCAGTGGACCAGACTCCCGTGGTGCTGCTGGGCCACTGGGGGCACAGTCTGGACCCCAGGCACATCTCCCCGCTCCCCCAGAGCTGTCAGGAGGATTCTTGCTCGCGCACGCCAGCTGGTGGATGCCAAGAAGGAGGACGGCTTCACGGCCTTGCACTTGGCCGCCCTTAACAACCACCAGGAGGTGGCCCAGGTTCTCATCCGCGAGGTGTGGACACGGGGCCCTGGACCAGCCTGGGGCCTTGGGGGTCAGGACCCAGCTGGGGTCCCCGGGCTGAGCCGGTGCCCACCCCCTCTGCCCTTCCCTCAGGGCCGCTGTGACGTGAACGTCCGCAACCGGAAGCTCCAGTCCCCGCTGCACCTGGCCGTGCAGCAGGCCCACGTGGGGCTGGTACCGCTGCTGGTGGACGCGGGCTGCAGCGTCAATGCTGAGGATGAGGAGGGGGACACGGCCCTGCACGTGGCGCTGCAGCGCCATCAGCTGCTGCCTCTGGTGGCTGACGGGGCCGGGGGGGACCCAGGGCCCTTACAGCTGCTGTCCAGGGTGAGGAAGTGCGCATCTGGGTGCTGCGGAAGTCGGCCGGGCTGCCCAGCTGCAGGCAACAGGCGGGGCCTGAGGGACCGTCCACCTCGGCTGTGGGCGTCTGCCCAGGAAGCCAGGCCTTAGTGGGGGTGGGTTGGGCTGGGGCGCTGGGGTTTGCCAGAGGCGTTTTCTGCCACCCGTCAGGGCAGCGTGGCCTGACCAGCCTGGGAAAGGGGATGTGGTGTGGGGTGTGTGTGGGGGGGTACCGTCTGGGAACTCCAGCCCCTCGCCTGGGGCTCCCTGGTGGGGGCCCCTTTCCTGTCTGCCTCCTTCCTGTTCCCACGGCCTCAGATGGTGATGGGGTGCCCGAGGCTCTGACCCGAGGCCCAGGCAGCCGGGGGCTGGTAGGGCGTCCCCGACGGCCACTGGGCCTGCCCTGGGGCCTGCTCCGGCGCGCCCGCCCTCACCGGCCTCTGTCTGCCGCCCAGCTACAGGCTTCGGGCCTCCCGGGCAGCGGGGAGCTGACGGCGGGCACGGCGATCGCCTGCTTCCTGGCGCTGGAGGGCGCCGACCTGAGCTATGCCAACCACCGCGGCCGGAGCCCGCTGGACCTGGCCGCCGAGGGCCGCGTGCGCAAGGCCCTGCAGGGCTGCGCGCAGCGCTTCCGGTGAGCCCGGCGGGGTTGGTGTGGGCCCGGGCGCCCTCCCCCGACCGGGGCCGCTTTCAAGCCCCCTCCTCCCACCGCAGGGAGCGGCATGCGGGCGGCAGCGGGGGCGCGGCCGCGGGCCCGAGGCTGGTGCTGGGGTCCCCCAACACCGTGACGAACCTGCACGTGGCCGCGCCGTCGGGGCCCGAGGCCGCGGAGTGCCTGGTGTGCTCGGAGCTGGCGCTGCTGGTGCTGTTCTCGCCGTGCCAGCACCGCACGGTGTGCGAGGGTGAGTGCGGGGGCTGCGGGGGTGCGGGGGGTGCCCGAGTCCACGCGCACCCGCCCGACCGAACCCCCGCCCCGCAGAGTGCGCGCGCAGGATGAAGAAGTGCATCAGGTGCCAGGTGGCCATCGGCAAGAAGCTGCGCCCAGGTGCGTGCCCGCCCCCCGCCCCGCCCCGCCCCGCCGGCTCGCGGCCCCGCCTCCCCTCACCCTTGCCTTCCCCCACCCGTCCCCGGTGCCGGCCCGCAGACGGCACGGAGGTGGCCAGCGCGACCCCGGCGCCCGGCCCGCCGCGGCAGCTGGTGGAGGAGCTGCAGAGCCGCTACCGGCAGATGGAGGAGCGCATCACCTGCCCCATCTGCATCGACAGCCACATCCGCCTCGTGTTCCAGTGCGGCCACGGCGCGTGCGCACCCTGCGGCGCCGCGCTCAGCGCCTGCCCCATCTGCCGCCAGCCCATCCGCGACCGCATCCAGATCTTCGTGTAGCCCCCCCGCCCCGCGCCCCGGCCGCGCCCGCCGCCTTCCGGAGCCACGTCCCCCCGTCGCCTTCGCAGGCCCCCGCGCCGTGTTTTATAAAAAGATTCTCGGACTTTTCCGCTTGGTGCCTGCCTGGGGCGGGCTCGGGGCGGGGATGGGGGTGGTTGTCCGCCCCGGGGTCCCGCCCCGCCCCGTCGCTGCCCCCGACCCGGGCTGGCCTGCGCGGCGCCCCCCTCCCCCTCCGCGCCGGGCTCTGCGCTTTGGCCCGTGCCTCGCGCGTCCTGCCTTTTCTAGCGCTGACGCTTCCAGACCCCCGCGCAGACCCCGTCCCGGGAGCCGGAGTCCTGCCCCCGGGCCGAGACGCAGGCCGCCTCCCAGGCTCCCGGCCTGGGGCCGCGGAAGTATGGAGCCTGGGGACGTGGTGTCCGCCAGAAGTCCCGGTGTCCACCCCGCTGGTGGGCTTCCCCCGACCCGCTGCTGCGTCGCCCTCACTGCCCCTTTCTCTAACCCCCGCGGGCTGTGAGGTCGTCTCTGACCCTGTTCTCTCTCGGCGGGTAGGGTCTCTGCTAAGCAGAGAGTTGGGGAAGGGGTTTCGGGCGGGGTGGGGGCATGGGTAGGGTCTTACCGACCCTTGAGCGTGGTAGGCCGGAACAGGGCCCCGGGGGAGAAGGCAGACCCAGGGCAGAAGGGAGCCGTTTGTTGGGGCAAGTATTCCGCCATGAAGAGCAGGGGTGCAGCTCTCCACTGGGCTCCGCAGCCGGTCAGGGCGCTTTCCAAGAACTACCCGAAATGCTCCCCCGGAGCCTCCCGGCTGTCGGCCAGCAGCTTGGCACTGACCCCGCTGGCCTGGCGCGCGGCTCTCACTCTGGGCGCGAGGCCTGGATGGAGAACACGGAGTGCCAAGCCCCCCGGCCTGGTCTGCCTCTTCCTCTGCTCCCTCCCCGCACCAGTCCCTGTCTGCTCCGGCCCTCTCAGGCCTCCCGAACAGGCCGCCCCGTCGAGGCTTCCAGCCTCAGGACGCTGATCCCCTGGCCCCCCAACCCAGGCCCGTTCCCGGCCTCGGCCCCAGCCCGGGCTTCCCTGCTCCCACAAAGCCCGCACCTCGTTCGCTTCCCTTTTAGCTCCATAGGGTCTGCTGCCTTCAGCTACCGCACCTGGTTCTCTGGGGTGCTGTCCCCACGTCCCTGCCTCTTGCCCGCCCCAAGCACCCAGTGCTCACACTCCTCGTCCCCACCCCTCTCTCCAGGACCTGGGTCAGGCAGCCGCTGGGGCAGGGGACAGGTCCTGAGTTGGTGAGAACAGAGCCTGCTCTCCCAGGTCTCGCTCGCTGGTCAGGGAGCTGGAGGAGCTCCATCCAGTGGAAGAGGACTGGGGACCCCAACTGCCTACCCTTCCCTTCGCCGGAGCCTCTGGCGTCTGTCTATCCTTTCTCTCGCTGCCGGGCCCTCCTCGCCCCCACCCCCCACGTGACCCCGCCCAGCAGGCCCTGCCCAGGCTGCTGCCACCGACCCACAGGCCCCGGGTCCGCACCCCAGGCTGGCGGCAGGACCGTCCTGACAGTGGGGACGGCCAGCCAGCTTGTTCCCTTCAGGGGCACGCACCTCCCCCTGCACGCATCCCTGTAACCCGAGCCGCTCGCAGCACCTCCCCGCGCAGCCCCACTGGGCCCGAGGCCCCGACAGTGAGTCCGCAGGCGCCATGGGCCTTGGGGCCTGCATGTCCTCAGCGGCGTCGGGGGCCCAAGCCCAGGCCCGCCGGCTGGAAGCCGTGCTGGGCGCCCTGTGCCTGCTGCCCGCACTCCTGCTGCTGGCCCGGCTCGGGGCTCCTGCCGCCCGGTTGGGGGCCAGCGGGGCACAGGTGAGAGCGGGTGTGGCTGGGCGGACGGGTGGGTGGCCGGGGAGTCTGAGAGCCTGCGTGTCCCCAGGGGGGGAGGGGGGAGGGGGAGGAGGAAGCCAGTATCAGGCCTCCAGCTCCGCCCAGTCCGACCTGGGCTGTGGTTAGTAACCTTCTTTCCTGGCTGTGGAAGCAGCACGCTGGCTGGGCTAGAAAACCCAAACTCGCAGGAAGACCAAAGGAGGGAATTTCAAGGCTCCCTGAAGCACGCACCCGCCTGCTTTCTTTAGTTCTTTTTCCAAGCTTTTTCAGACATGGGGACGGTCCCTACTGTGTCCCCACGAGCACTCGCTTTCCTTGAAGGGAGCCGTCGCCGCACCCTACCAGGCGGATGTCTTCGCCACTCCAGGACCCGGTCCTCCGCCCCTCCAGGTGCCCCGCAGACGCCGATACACGCTGACCCCAGCCAGGCTGCGCTGGGACCACTTCAACCTCACCTACAGGTGTGACGGTGGCTCAGGACGGTGGGCACAGGGGAGCGTGCCCTAGCCCTGCCACCACCCTTGACCTTAACCCCCATCCCAGGATCCTCTCCTTCCCGCGGAACCTGCTGAGCCCCAGTGAGACCCGGCGGGGCCTGGCTACCGCCTTCCGCATGTGGAGTGACGTGTCCCCCTTCAGCTTCCGAGAGGTGGCCCCTGAGCAGCCCAGCGACCTCCGCATAGGTGCGCGCCGTGCCCCCGCCCCCGCCTGGCCCTGTGGCCCCCTCTCAGCCCTGTGCTCCCCCAGGCTTCTACCCGGTCAACCACACGGACTGCCTGGTCTCCGCGCTGCACCACTGTTTCGATGGCCCGACAGGCGAGCTGGCGCACGCCTTCTTCCCTCCGCACGGCGGCATCCACTTTGACGACAGCGAGTACTGGGTCCTGGGCCCCACGCGCTACAGCTGGAAGAAAGGTGATGGCCTGGACTCCTGCGGGGCCCTCTGCACCAGGGTGGGCACAGCAGGAGGGCTTTGGGGGTGGTGGCTGCGATTTAGGGTCAAGTAGGCAGGAAGGGGGAGGCTGGGAGGAGGCCATAGGCCTGGGTTCCAGGAGCCCTGAACAAACCCCCCCCCCCCCCCCGCCGCCCTGCTGCTGGAGACGGAGCTGGAGCTGCATTCCTGGGGACCGAGCTCACTGCCTCTGGAACATTCTTATCTTCCCATGGCTGTGCTGAGGGAGGCTCCGCGGGCCGCAGCGCCGGCAGGCCACCGTCGGCAGAGCCGGGGGAGGGCTGGGCCGGGGCTTGAGGGGCTGACCCGCGGGCCCCGCAGGCGTCTGGCTCACCGACCTGGTGCACGTAGCGGCCCACGAGATCGGCCACGCGCTGGGCCTGATGCACTCGCAGCACGGCCGGGCGCTCATGCACCTGAATGCCACTCTGCGCGGCTGGAAGACGCTGTCGCAGGACGAGCTGTGGGGGCTGCACCGGCTGTACGGTGAGTGCTGTGGGGGCTGGGCGGCCGGGCGGGCGGGAGGGTAGGCCTAAGGCCTAAGGCCGGGTCAACCTCCTGCAGGCTGCCTGGACCGGCTCTTTGTGTGCACATCCTGGGCCCGGAGGGGCTTCTGCGACACCCGCCGCAGGCTCATGAAGAGGCTCTGCCCCAGCAGCTGTGACTTCTGCTACGGTGAGGCCGCGGCCCCTCTGTTGGCCGGCTCTGGCCGGAGGCGGGGTGGGGGGGGTGCCGCGGTGGCCCTCTCTGAGCCGGCCCCTCCCGCCGCTCTGCAGAGTTTCCCTTCCCCACGGTGGCTGCCACCGCGCCCCCGCCCAGAACCAAGACCAGGCTGGTGCCCGAGGGCCGGAACGTGACCTTCCGCTGTGGCCAGAAGATCCTGCACAAGAAAGGCAAAGTGTAGTGAGTGGCCCTGCCCTGTGCCCTCCCCACCGAGGGTGGGTGGCGGGGACTCGGGACCCCGGCCAGCCTCGTGCCCTGCTCCCCGCAGCTGGTACAAGGACCAGGAGCCCCTGGAGTTCTCCTACCCCGGCTACCTGGCGCTGGGCGAGGCGCACCTGAGCATCATCGCCAACGCCATCAACGAGGGCACCTACACGTGCGTGGTGCGCCAGCGGCAGCGCGTGCTCAGCACGTACTCCTGGCGGGTCCGCGTGCGCGGCTGAGCTGCCCGCGGGGCCGAGGCCGCTCATAAAGCACTTTCTCTCTGAAGCCTGCGCGCCTTTCTTGGGCGGGAGGGCGGCCAGCCTTGGGGCCCGCGGGGTGGGGCCGCTCGGCCTGTGCTCCGCTTCATGTGGGGAGCCTGTGGCCGGGACACCCCAACTTCCCCACAGCTCCTTGGGGTGAGGATGCGGTCCTCAGAGGCCCAGGCCACGGCGGGCTTTTCCCGGGGAAATGGGGTAAACGAAGGCACAAATGTGGAGCATCCCCAGGAGAGCAGGCTGAGCCCAAGCAGCCCGGGGTCCCTGGAAGTGTCTTGGGGTTGCTCAGGGGCGCGGGAGGCAGGAAGGCCGAGAAGGGCAGGCCGCTGTGCCCGCAAGGCCGCCAAAGGAGTGGGATGGGGGTTGGGGCGGGTGAGGCCCGAGAGTGAGGGCCGACACCGGAGTTGGGGGAGGAGCTGCTGGTGCCAACAGAAGGGAGAGTGGAGCTGGTGGACACCCTGGGCAGTGGCAAGCACCCCCGTTTGCCACAGCGACGCCCCGTCCCGCTAGACCGGGAGCCCGAGACCTGGCAGGCCAGGAAGAGCCCGGCCAGCACGGGGTCCGAGGCCTCCACCCGGAGAACGCGGGCCCGAGGCCCCGCCAGGCAGCACGAGGGCAGGCCTCGTCCGCTAGGGGCCAGCTGTGGAAGGGCGCGCCGGAGCTCTCCTCCAAGAGCGTTTTACTGCCGTCTTGAAACACGTTAAGTTTGTACAAAACCCACCGTGGCCAAGAGCTTGCACACGGGCTCTGAGGGGCCCGGGGCCATGGATGCCCTGAGGGAGGGGCAGGAGGGTGTGAAGCGGGAGCCCGAAGATTAAAAGTAGAGAAAATCCTGCCCCCGACCTCGTTCCACACCAAGGCCAGCCCGCCCGCGGCGAGCGCGGGACCCCCCGACGGTGCGCCTCCACTCCCCGCGCGGCAAGTCTGACGCACTGAAAAATACAGCCTTTCCTTTCACAACAAGGAAAATGTGGTTTAATTCTACAAATTTACAAGCCAAGATGAAATAAAACGTGGAAAAGCAAACGAGACGGGCAGTCTGAGGCTCGAGGTGGAGATCCGCGGCCACGCCAGCCCGCGGCAGCCGCGCCCAGGCGGAGCAGGGCCTGGGTCTGGACCCAGGTGCTGCCTCCGGCACCCGCCCTGGTCCCGGCCAAGTCCTGCTGGGCGGCCCCCACAGGGCGGGTGTGGGCTCGTGCCAAACCTCAGAACTTGAGGCTGAAGCCAGGGCCCGCGGCCGAGGCCCCCTGGCTGGTGGTCGTGAGGTGGAAGCCCGTCTCCTTCAGGTCGTCGTCGCCCTGGGGAGCAAGTGGCACCGTGGGGCCCCGGCCGGGCTGGCCTCGCCTCGGGGAGCCCCCACATCTTCCCCCCTCTGCCAGCCCGGCCCCTCACCAGCTGGCTGTACCCCAGGCCTCCCTCTGGGGGCCGTGGGCTTGTGCCACGCTTGACCCTTTGCTGCTCACTCTTGGCGGGCCACGTGGGGAACATCGAGGGGTCGATGGGGAGGGGGGTCTCTCGGAAATACTCATGCTTGAGGCCGTCCTCTGCGCTGACTCTCCGCCCAGGGAAGTAGGTTAGGAACCTGGGGGAAGAAGAGCCCTTGGTGTCCAGCACAGGGGTGGGGGTGAGGGCATGGGGGAGGGGCGCACCCACAGGTTCACACACTTGTTCATGAGGTCAAAGCCCTGGTCTGACAGCAGCGCCCCAAAGCGTTTGCGGAGGTTGTTGTAGGGGTACTCGGTGAAGGTCATCTTCTTGACCGCAGGGAGGTCATTGTAGCCAGGCCAGATCTTCTCACTCGGGGTACCCAGGTCCTGAGAGACAGACAGACAGACAGACGGGTCTCAGAACGGCCCCAGCCTGCAGGGGAGGGTCCGGGCCCAGGCGCCTGCATGAACCAGGCGGGACGCTTTGCAGGCAGGAGCCACAGACGCACCTTAAACACTTTGTTGATCTGATCGATTTCCGACTTCCCAGGGAAAAGCGGCTTCTGGGTCAGCAGCTCCCCAAAGATGCAGCCCACCGACCACATGTCCACGGCCGTGGAGTACTCCTGGGGGGCCGGGGGTGCGCTCAGGGGGCTGCATGGGCGGCGAGCACAGGTCAGGTCCCCCAGCCCCCGGCACTCACCTTGGCACCAAGCAGCAGCTCCGGGGCACGGTACCACAGGGTCACCACGACTGGGGTGTAGGCCTTCAGAGGGGACCCGTATTCCCTGGCCAGCCCGAAGTCCCCGACCTGCAAGGACCGAGGGCTGTGGCGGCCACTGAGGCCCAGGTGGGGGCAGCCCCGAGGGGAAGCCGCGGGGACCCACCTTGAGGATGCCCGCGTGGCTGAGCAGCAGGTTGGAGGTCTTGAGGTCCCGGTGCAGGATCCAGTTGTCGTGCAGGTGCTTTACGCCGCGCAGCAGCTGGATCATCAGGGTCTTCACCTCCCCTAGAGGGCAGCGGGGTCACGGCCCTGGGTCATCTGCCTGCCGCGGCAGCGACCAGGCTCCTCGGGGCACATCCGTCCTGGGAACGCGCCTGGCTTGGCACGGCCCTGGGGCGCGCGCACGTGTGCAGCGGGAGCGCGCCCGAGTTACAGGGTCAGGGACGCCGCCTGCAGCCCAGGCGGCCGAGGGTGGGAGGCTCCCGGTGGGGGCCAGCAGCCAGAGGGCCGCGCCTGTAGGAGTGACTCGGGGCCGTGCCTGCCGTGCCGCGGGCCCCACCTGGCAAGAAAGGCTGCTTCATGGTCTCCATCAGACTCTTGAGGTCGTGCTCCACGTAGTTCATCACGATGTAGATCTTGTCCATGTTGCTGCCCACAACGATTTCCTGAGAGACAAAAGCCGGCGGGCAGGTCACCTGGGGTCCCCTCTAGGCCCCAGCTCCGTGACCGCTGACTCTTGGGGCCTAGACACACGCAGACGGCAGGGACCTGTGAGGGTAAGGGTCAGGGTTAGGTGTGGTAACCTTTAAGGGGCTGATGTGGCGGGGCCGCCAAGACTCCGTTTTTGCACGACACAGGTGAGCGCGACCCCCAGGCTGCCCTTGGGGCACAGGCCCGGGAGGCCTTACCCGGACTGTGACGATGTTGGGGTGCTGCGCCTTAAGGATGGTGTTGATCTCCCTCAGAGATGTGATCGGAAAGCCCTCTTTCTCCTTCTCCATCTTCAGCCGCTTCAAAGCCACAATTTCATCTGAAAACAGTTGGGAGGCAGGTTGAGGACACCTCCTTCCGCACACACGCACGTGGCCGGGACTCGGGAAGGGCTTCGTGTGCCCAGAGAAATCTTGTTTTAACGGATGTCTCACATCCGCACCAAGAGAGAAAGCCCAAACCTGCTACCCTGAACAAAACACGAGGCCTATTTCCAAACTGGCTTCGTCCAAAACAGGTAAGGATTTCCCATTCTCTCTGTCCCTGCTGTGGTTTGCCAGGAGACACCGCAAACCTCAACATCCCAACCCAGAAACATCCACAGAAACATCTCAAGTGGCCTCCCTGAGTTTCCAAGAGCCAGATGTGGTGCCAGGGAAGCTTCCAGGCCATGGCTCACGCACCTGTTCAGGTGCTAGCGCTCGAAGTGGACTCCACACCCCTCCCTGGAGCCGAGGCACCTGCCACCACAACCAGGCTGACCTCTGGACTCTACAGATATCAAGGAGTCAACGGCTCAGGGGCCCGTGAGTCGTTAGCTGGAGCTCTCCAGGTAAGGGGAGGCCGTTGACTGGGCATCTGCGCAGGGAAGACTCCCAGGAGAGGAAGAACTGTGTGTTCAATGACCTAGACACGGAGGGTGCCAAGGGCCAGGATGGCCCGGGCTTGGATCTCAGTCCCTGCAAGCCGGCTGTGGCTTAAGCAGAACGCCCTGCCTGCCTCCCTCCCAGAGTCCACGTGGGACCAGCAAGACTGTGCAGGGGAAACACGCCAGGCCCGAGAAAGTGCGGTGGGTATGCCCACGGACAATGCTCCTCAGGAGAGATTCCTTCCTGCCCGAGGACAGGTTCTCTGTGCCACCTGGCTCCGGCCCTGCATCTCCCTCCCCCCACCCTGGGGGCCACGCGATACTGCCCCCACCTGTTTTCTTGTCCTTTGCTCTGTACACCACCCCGTAAGTGCCTTCCTCGATCCTGTTCAGGCACTGGAACTCCTCCACGCTGCGACAACCCTGGAAGGAAGCAGGCCGTGGGACGCAGAGGCCGCGGCCGCGCTCACACCCGCACTCACACCCACATGGAGCTGGGGCAGCAGGCCCTGCCCCGAATGCGTCTGGTGGGAGTGCGGCTGCGGCCCCCCGCCCGGCCTCCTCAGTGAGCACGCGCTCCTGCGTCAAGAAATAAAACCACCTGCCGTAACACCTGGTCCCGGGCGCACCCTTCTGAGCCAGGCCTGGTCTGCTGCTCCGCGCTAAGGTAACACCAGGGATGACACCGCCAAAGCCCCGGCACCTTCCCGCATGGCACGGGTGACCCCAGTGGCAGGTGCCCACAGCAGAGGCCCCACTCTCAACCCCCAGCCCTATCCACTGTCGGCCAAGCTGAGCCAGCCTTGGGGTGGAGGGACGCCTGACCTGCAGGGCAGGGAGGTACTTGGGCAGCTCCTGTTTGAGTTCAATGGGCGACAAGGCGGGAGAGTCGGGCACAAAGTCGCCCTCAGTCAGGGCGCTACTCTGCGGAGTGCCCTCGCCGGCGTCTTCCTCCCCTTCCTCGCTTTCTCCGGAGTCTCGGTCAAATCGCGACTCTGGAACTTCAAACGTTAAACCCAACTGTGGAACCAGGAATAAGCAATGTCATCGTCCCTCTCGTGCTCTGGGGTGGGGGGACACCAAGTGCATGCCAGAGCCACAAAGGCGACCCCAGATGTGTGTACCCCACCACTCTGGACAGAGGGCACTGGGGTCTTGGGGTTTACCAGCTCAGCCGGGGGCCTGGGAGCCGCTGACCAGAGCCGGGGCTCAAAGGAGGCACACCCGGGACTCGTCTCTGGGGCCCTGAGGGCCCAGCCCGGCTGCTGCCTCCCTGCCGTGTCTAAGACACGGGGATGCTGAGGACTTGGGGATGCTAGCCTGCCACGGTCACAGCGGGTCTGTCAGGGAGCCGGCTGCCTGTGCCTCGGGCGAGGGTATGCACACAGGACGGTGACCTGCTGGCTTTGGAAAGGGTCACAGAGCTGAGGGGCAGCCGAGGGAAGGGCTGCCTCGCAGGGGTGCCGCTCACCGACCAGGACGTGGTTCTCGCTCTCCCGCTCTCCGTCCTCACTCATCTCGTCCTCACTCACTTCCTCTGCAAGACAGAGCGGGGGTCTGCTCACACCTGCAGGGCCTGGACCCCGCAGGCTTGGGCTTGGCCTCTTTCTAGGGCTCTTCAGACCCTCCACGGGCACAAACAAGGGTCTGCTTTAGCTAATGAAAAGCAAAAACCACTGTAAATAATCACTTCTGGGGTCTCATGGGAACCCCAGGTACCAAAGCATTTTCCACTTGGGGGTATTTTTGAACCGAGAGCGCCAGTGATTCCTCCGCAGCCTGTAAACACCAGACGAGACGGTGGGAGCCCCGCGCCCTCCTCACCGGCCGACTGTCCTGACGCATCCTCGGAGTTGCTGCCCGTCTCCTCCTCCTCTTCCTCCTCTTCCTCCGACTCTTCACTGCTGCTCCCCTCCTCCTCCTCCTCCTCCTCCTCTTCCTCCTCCTCCTCCTCCTCCTCCTCCGAACCTGACCCTGACTCCGCTGCGGGAAGAAAACAGCTGGAAGCGCACAGCGGGGACGAGCGGCCCCCACCCCACCCCCGCGTGGCCGCGGAGCCGGCGCTTACCTGATGAGGACTCGGCAGAGCTGGTTTTCCTTTCGCTGTCGCTGACGTCCTGCAGGTCGGACAGCAGGTCTCGCTCCTCCGTTTTCTCTTCTTTCACTTACGAAACAAACCATCAAAGTTGAACGCGGGAAGCGTTTGACCATGAACGAGACCCGACAGCATCTTTCCTGCAGAGGCTGACTGGGGCCTGGGTGACACACGGCCCCCCACGGAGCGGGAAGACCGCCCTCGACACCCGTAACAGGGTCTCCGACACATACAAACGTGCTCCACACTAACGACGGTCCCACCGCGCGTTCCGGGAGTCCTACAGCCCATCTCATTGCACAACAAAAGCACGTTTTCGTGAAGTCTTCGTTTGCCGAGAGCCCTGTCACGCTGGCCCGCAGGCAGGCCCCGCGCGCCCTCACCTGGCTTCCGGCCGTCTGTCAGCTCGAACCTCTCTCGGGGTGGCCGCAGCGGGCTGCGACTCCAGTGGCTGCCTTTCACTTTGTCGCCATAGTCTTCTCTCATCGTTCGGTGATGTGCAGACACTGGGGCACAAAACACAGCAGGAGGCAGGGCTGGCAGCACCCTCTCCAGCGGGGCCCTGCCTCGGTCAGGTCTCAGCCGCACCCCTGCCGGTGGTGACGCAGAACATGTGCTCATAGCTCTGGCGACAGAGGCTGGAGGCTGCCACAAGGACCTTCCAGACTCCTCTCCATTGGTCAGAAAGGAAGGGGCCATGACCCGCCTCTTCAAGCCTGTGCCGGGCCAGTGTGGGCAGCAGACACGGCAGCCCGGCACCGGGCCTGGGAAGGCCCCGCCACGCGCCCTCACCGCACACCTCAAGTGCCCACGGCCTTCCTCGGCCAGGGACACACAGTCAAGCTCAACTCCTGAGCCCCACGGCCTGCCCCCGCGTCGCATGGCCATCGTCCGGAGCACCTCATCCCTCAGTGTCACTCGTGCGGCCCTGAGCTCACCCATGGGAGCAGCACCCCGGCCACAAGGCGCACCCACCCGCACCTTCCCTGCGGGCCTCGCGCTCCTTGCGCCGCTCCTCTGCCCGCCGCTCCCGCTCCTTCTGCTCCCGCTGCTCCTTCTGCTGCTCGCGCATCTTCCGCTCTCGCTCCCGCTTCCTCTCCAGCTGCTCAAGGCGGTCCCTGCAATGAGCACAGGCCAACGCTCTCTCCAGTTTTCCTTTTTTACCCCAAGTGCTTTCTGTTCAAATTAAAAAATCGCCCATTTAGGTTATTCAAACCATAAAGGGCTTTTTCACAGCCACCGATATCCCGAGCACACGTCCTCACAGACGCGAGAACAAGCAAGGGGCACCGGAGCGGTGCGGGGAGGGCGGTCAGTCGTTGAGCCTCGGACTCTTGATTTGGGCTCGGGTCATGACCTTGGGGTCATGAGACTGAGCCCCTCGAAAGGCTCCATGGTCGGCGCAGAGTCTGCTGATCTCCCTATCTCTGCCCCCATCCCCGTTTGTACACTTTCTCTCTCAAATAAAAGTTTTTTTTTTTTTTTTAAGATTTTATTTATTCACTTAACAGACAGAGATCACGAGTAGGCAGGGAGGCAGACAGAGAGAGGAAGGGAAGCAGGCTCCCTGCTGAGCAGAGAGCCTGATGTGGGGCTCGATCCCAGGACCCTGGGACCATGACCCGAGCCGAAGGCAGAGGCTTCACCCACTGAGCCACCCAGGCGCCCCTAAAAGTTTTTTTTTTTAAACATTCTTATCGATCTGACAGAGACTGAGAGATTGAGAGAGAGAGCTCACGCACAAGCAGCAGAACAGCAGGCAGAGGGAGAGGACCCAGTAGGCTCCCCACCAAGCAGGGAACCCGACGTGGGGCTTGATCCCAGGAAGCCAGGATCACGCCCTGGGCTGAAGACAGGCTTCACTGACTGAGCCACCCAGGCGCCCCTCAGATGAATTGAGTCTTTAAAAAAGAAGAAGAAAGGGACGCCTGGGTGGCTCAGGGGGTTAAAGCCTCTGCCTTCGGCTCGGGTCATGATCTCGGGGGCCAGGGGTCGAGCCCCACATTGGGCTCTCTGCTCAGCGGGGAGCCTGCTTCCCTTCCTCTCCCTCTGCCTGCCTCTCTGCCTGCTTGTGATCCCTTTGTCAAATAAATGAATAGAGTCTTTAAAGAAGAAGAAGAAGAAGAGGAGGAGGAGGAGGAAAGCAAATGCTGGCACAATGAGCTCAATGCTTCCGGACGCCGGTCTGGCGGGCCTGTAGGCGTGGCCGGCAGCACAGCTCACATCCACCTTTACGGAGGTCTAGGTCTTCAGGGGCTGCAGCGGGGGTGGAGGAGTCCACCTGGGGAAGGTGCGGAGGAGGATGTGGATGCAGGCCTGGGCCCTGTCCCTCCTCCTCACTGGATTCTGTGGCAGACGGACCCCCAGGCGATTCGCCAGCCCAGCAGGCACAAGTGTGGCATGTGAAGGGCAGCGGGGAAGAGCCACTTCATGACGGCGTTGAGTCACCAAGGACCGCGCGCGGCCTGCCCACAGCACAGGCAAACAGTGCAAAGGGGCCAGTTGCAGTAAACTTTCATGTCCCTACAGTTATGTCCAAATATAAAAAGGCCAGTACACTGAAAAAGAAGAAAGCAAGCACCAGTATACTCAAACAGAAATGAGCACGAACAATGGCGAAAATGGAACAAGGCCGCGGTCCAGTCCCCGGGCCTGTGCTGACTCTGGGGCCCATCAGAGGGCCCTGCTGCGGAAGCCTGGGATTCTAGGAACTATTCTGTAAGTGCCCGAGTCCAAGCTGTTGTGAGGTAACAGCTGTAGCATAACATGAGACCCAACCAGAGAATTCCATTTTTCATAAACTTATGAAGTCGTGCAACCATCACCATGAGCCAGTTCTAAAACACGCCCATCGCCGGACAGGCCCCCTCGCGCCCACCTGTGGCCAGCTCCTCGCCTGCCCCACAAGCCTGTTTCTTTGTGCTTGGGATCCTGTGGATATTCCTTCTGCTTCCTTTGGGTTGAGTCTGCCTCTCTCTTCTGCTAAGGGTAGAGGCTCGGCTGCTGACCTAACAACTTCGCTGTTATCAGTGCCTAAAAGCCAAAACGTCTCACTCCATGCACAGCCTTTTCTGCATCACTAACTCTGGGCATCCTGCTTCTGTTTTCATTCAGTTCAAAATGATTTTTTTCTTCTTCCAGTAGGTTTCATGTTCAGGGAGGCGCCCAACGTGGGGCCTGAACTCACGACCCTGAGACCAAGACGTGAGTTGAGATCAAGTCGGAAGCTTGACCGACTCAGCCCCCAGGCACTTTTGTTTCCTTTTATTTGGGCCATAGGTTATTCAGAAAAGGACTGTGGGATTTCTAAACATTTGAGGATTCCCTCAAGTTTGTTTCTTTGTGTTGATTTCGACTTTAACCCTTTGTGGGAAGAGGGTATACTTTGTACGGCCTCAGTTCTCAGATCTGAAACCTGCTCTGTGGCCCACGCAGGATCCACGTGGCACAACCTTCCCTTTCCGAGTGCGTACCTGCAGCTGGCTGTGGGGCGCTGTGTGCAAGGTCACTGAGACCGAGCCTGTGCAGGCTGCTTTCCAGATGTTTCACATCCTTTTCTCTGGCGGTTCCGCCAACAGTGACACACCGCACTGAGGGTGCTCGTCTCTTCTCCTGAACTTGATACCTTCTGCTGTTCAACAGTTGGCACTGACGAACGACCCACTTCTCCCTTGAGCGGTCAGGCACATACACGTTTGCCACCATCACTCCCTTCTGCTGTACGGACCCTTCTGTCATTGGGAAGCCCCGTGTCAGCGCTGGTGACTTCTGTCAGGTAACCGATGTCTCGCCTGAGCCCCTTGGGCTCGCAGCTGCTGTGGGTGTGGGACGTCTCTGTCCGTATGCTTACTTTTGACTTATTTTTGTCCTGGACTAAGAGGTTCTCCTTACAGACAATATACTGGATCTTGCTTTGCTGTCGAAGAACCTCTCCTCTGGGGTACACAAACCACTCCACATTTCATGTAATTATGGATCTGGTTGAATTTGCTTTCTGTCACTGTTTGAGTTTTATGCCTTCCGTCTTTTTGGTTTAAGTAAGGGTCTTAAGAAAACCCTGCCAAGCCTACGGCCATACCACCCTGAACGCGCCCGATCTCGTCTGATCTCGGAAGCTAAGCAGGGTCGGGCCTGGTTAGTACTTGGATGGGAGAAAACCCTGCCGAGTCCCGTTGGCACTAGTCGGTCACTCTCTTCATGGCTGCTCCAGGATGGGCAGCGCGCATCTTCTCAGACTTACTTCATCCCAGGGAATGCCGGAGCCCCGTGCGGAACAGCTCGGGCCCTCCCCATTCTCTGTGCAGCCCACACGCGCGGCGTCACACCACAGCATTTCACTCATCACTGTTTCATGCAATCGTGTCTCTTACGGAAATTAAGACGTGAGAAGAAACATTTGTAGATTCTGTTACGTTAACCCGAGCCTTTACCATTTCCAGTGCTCATCTCTTCTTCCTGAATTTGATACCTTCTGCTGTTCAACATGAAGGTCTTCCTTGAGTATTTAAGGCAGGTCTTGTTAATAATGAATTCCACTGGTTTATCTTTCCTATTCCCCTCACTTTGGAAGAAGAATTTTGCTGGATACAAAATTCCTGGTTGCCAGGCTTTCCTTCGGCAGTGGGGCCTGCCACGCCACCGCCTCCTGGCCCCCACTGACTCTGAGAAGTCAGCCGTCAATCGCACTGAAGCCCGCCTTCTAGGTACATTTTTCTCCTGCTTCCTTTCAAGATTTTTCTCTGGCTTTCACCAGTGTCACTGTGATGCCACTTTATGGATCCTACCCGGGGTACCGAGCTTCTAGGATGTGTAGATAAATGCTTTTCATCAAATCTGGGATGTTCTCAGGCATCGTTTAAAGAAACACCTTTGTGCTGCTTCCCTCTTCTCTCCTGGGACTGCCAATTACATGGGTGTGGGAAGAACAGATGCTGTCCCACAGATTTTTTTTTTTAAGATTTTATTTATTTATTCGACAGACAGAGATCACAAGTAGGCAGAGAGGCAGGCGGGCCGGGTGGTTGGGGGGGGAGGCAGGCTCCCTGCTGAGCAGAGCCCGATGTGGGGCTCGATCCCAGGACCCTGGGATCGTGACCTGAGCTGAAGGCAGAGGCTTTAACCCACTGAGCCACCCGGGCGCCCCAAGTCCCACAGATCTTTGAGGCTCTGTTCATCTTTTGTTAATTCTCTCCGTTCTTCAGAAAGCCTAATTTCTATTGCTCCATTTCAAGTTCCTTGCTAATGCGGAACACTCAGTTTCTACTGATGCTTTTCTTCCTTCATACAGAGTCACACTTTCCTATTTCTTTTATGTCTCAAAACTTTTTGTTGAAAACTGGACATATTTCAGGGGTGCCTGGGTGGCTCAGTGGGTTAAAGCCTCCGCCTTCAGCTTGGGTCGTGGTCTTGGGGCCCTGGGATGGAGCCCCGCCGTCGGGCTCTCTGTGCCGCGGGGAGCCTGCTTCCCCGCCTCTCTCTGCCTACTTGTGATCTCTGTTGAATAAATAAATAAAAATCTTAAGAAAAAAAAGAAAGAAAACTGGACACATTTCAAGGGCACTCTAACAAAATCTTTTTTTTTTTTTTAAGACTTTATTTGAGTGAGTGAGAGATAGAGAGCGAGCGCGCACACATGCAGGGGAAGCAGCAGGCAGAGGGAGAGGCAGACTCCCCGCTGAGCAGGGAGGCCAACGCAGGGCTCGATCCCAGGACCCTGGGCTGAAGGCAGACATTCACCCGACTAAATGACCCAGGTGGCCCTCTAACAAAAATCTTAAAAAAAAGAAAGAAAGGAGAGAGAGACAGAGAAAGTTGGACATTTCGGGTAACACAGTGTAGCCACTTTGGATTCTCATTTTTCCTCTTAGTTGCTGTTTGGTAACATGCTGTGCTAATCTGTGAACTCTGTCTCCCGACTAGAGGGCGGCCACTGCTCTTTTCTTCTGATACGTTTTTTATTTTCAAGCTTGGCTTCCTTGGGTCACCGCTGTGTGTGCACAGCTGTGCTGTCAGCCCATCCTTAACAGAGTCAGCACAGAGCCGGGCAAACGTGGGTGATTCACACGCTCGCCATGAACCTGGCCACAAAGCTCCTCTCACCTCGTGATCTCTGACCTTCACCTGAAGACTCAGTTTGTCCCTTCCCATACCACCTCCACGAGAACAAAGGCTCTTGTCACACCTTCTTCAGTTCACCCCTTCGGCCTTTGTTGCCGGGAATGTCAGCAATATCCACCCTCCTACTTCTCCCTTCCTTGTAGCAGGCCAGCCACCAAGCTTTCTCTGGAAATGACCTCAACAGACAGAGGTGGCCCTCCTATTCACATCTGGCCCTTATGAACAGATCTGGGGCTAATCAGATGCTTTCCTCTGGGAATCTGAGCCCACAGAGGTGTACTTGGAGACAAAGGTCCAAGAGTCTGGTGTCTCAGCTCCCAGGCCTTTGGATTTCCCTTTGTTTTGTTTGAAAGAACTACAGTGCAGCCTGCAGTCTACAGTCTTTTAGAGAACCCCAAGCAACGTATTCCCTTAGTCTTCCTGGCTTAGGCCACCTAGAACAGAGCTTGGTACAGACCACGCACTCAGTAAGTACTTCTGCAGAAATCACCCTAAACTAGACTTCTCTTGGGTGTAGATTCTAAGTCAGAACTCCTATACGTGCACTGGTCTATCTCCAAGAGGGCCTCACTACCATGCCTCGAACACAGTACCCCCCGTCCTCTCAAGGGGCGTGCCCCATCCTGATGCATCAAGCTCAGACGTATTTACAGCTCCTCCTCCTCCTTACCCATCATCAGCTGAGAGGCATAGGAAGATCACTTCTCCCTCCTCTAGCTTCCTTCCCCTCTCCACTGTTAGGCGTTTGGCCCCCAAACTTTATTCCTTGTGTCTGAATTCCTATCTCAGACCCAGCTCCTGCCAGCAATGCCCCTTCCTTCAGGTCCACATCACACTCTTACACGGAATCTCAGGCAACTGCTGGCCTGGCCTGGCTCCTGAGCACCTTCCCCAGCAGCTTCCACCCGGAGAAACCGTCACCCAGCGTTCCATTCCCTTCATGATCTTTTCTCAGAAAGATTCACACCTATTTCTGTCTTCGGGATACAATAAAAACTTAATCCCGGGGCGCCTGGGTGGTTCAGTGGGTTGAAGCCTCTGCCATCGGCTCAGGTCATGATCCCAGGGTCCTGGGATCGAGCCCTGCATCGGGCTCTCTGCTCCGCGGGGAGCCTGCATCCCCCCCTCTCTCTGCCTGCCTCTCTGCCTACTTGTGATCTCTGTCAAATAAATAAATAAAATCTTTAAAACAAAACAAAACAAAACTTAATCCCTTCAGGACAAATCTCTTGACAAGCACCGCCCCACGTTCACTGCACTGGGACTCTGGGCCCACAAACCACTTCCGTGTCACATCTGTGTTATGCTGCCAGGTCACTGTGTGTCAAGATGGTCTCTTCTGCCACTTTGACAGGCTGCTGTCCCTAGGAGCGCCCCATCTGGGCTCCTTAAAGACGTGCTCACTCACCTCTCCCTTCTGGAGTGCTCCCGGGCCATGTCCCTCCTCTTCTGCCTCTCCCACTCCCGACGGGCCTTGTCCTGCTCCTCTCGGTGCCGTTTCCGGCGCTCGTGCTCTCGCTCCTTTTCCTTCGCTCTGGCATGCTTCCCTAAGGAGAAACAAAGTGTCACGCAAAGGGGCCCAATGCCCAAAACATGATTTGCAAATACACAGTGAAGAGAATTTTAATTAATGACTCGGAGCCTCCAAATCAGGGGAAAATAAGGTGGTGACCACAACAGAGTTGCAACTTCATCCTGTCTTTCAACTTTCTGTGTTAAATAAACTACCACTGGATGACAGCTGAGCCCTGAACACAGGGCAGGGGCACACGGCCCGGACACAGCCGGAAACCCAAGGGTAATTATGAGTCCTGAGCACTCAACTACGAACAGCCCACGCCGACCAGAGGCTTTACTGACGATGTGTCTTCTGTGTCACGTGTGTTCCCCACCGGACCCTAACAACTGCGTGAGCTACATCCAAGAGGCTGTTGTCAGCAAAACAAGAAGGGAAAGTGCATTTACGGCACTGCCCTGCAGTTACTCGGAAACATGCACGGATGAGCGGACCACGGGGCTCCAGCCCGCGCTGTTCAAGGGCCAGCTGTACGCCAGTGCCGTAATTAAGCACCACCACCAGCATCACCCAGGACAGAGCTCAACCTTGGTGGACTTCCGTCTTGTGTGACAGACCGCGCTCGTCAGCTGCGTTCGTAACAGGGACACCTGAACCGGGGGCTGGGGCCGTGACCCCAACACCCTAAGAGCCCTCAATAATGGTGGGAGATCAAACCCATTGGGACTTATCAAAGATCTTTCTTCAGGTAATTCAACACTGAACCGCTATAAAAAACGCATATAAATCCCCTACATTTGTTGAATTAACATAATATTACATTTAAATGAACTAACCCACAACAACGTAAGAAGAAAAAGACACCAGAAGAAAAATGAAACAGTTATTTGGAATGATCTATAATAAATTTATGCTTTCAGCTAAAATTTTACTTTCTCTTCTCTTTCAACCGTCCTCTGGATGAATCAGCAGGTTGTGATACAGGAAACAGACCACACCTGAACATGATACCAGAAAGAAGTAAAAGTAAAAATAAGAAAAACTTCTGTACCCCCTTCTGCTGAATGGCTACGATGCCTACGTTTCTCTTTCCTCTTTTCATCTTTCCTGTGATGAGCCTTTTCTTTCCGAGACATTTGCTGCGGTGGTTTGATAGCCAAAGAATCATCCTCCTCTCCTCTGAAATACACGACAGCATCACATCACGCTCGAGAGTAACGCGGGGAGTCAGGGCGCTGCGGAGCTCCTCCGCCCCAGAAACACGCACCGTTCAGAACACAGGAGTTCCACTGGACCCATCATTTTAAGCACTGTTAACTATTAAACTGAAGCCAAAACGGATTATCAAATACAGACTCAGATCAGGAGTGTAAGTGAAAAATCAACATCCACATGGAACAGTCAGTCTCAGGAAAGTTTAGGGGGCGATGGACATGTTCATTACCGTGACCATAACTGCACAAGTATGTACAAGTATCTCAAACCGCACACTCGTGTACACGTACATACACACACCTTATCATTTACGTATCAGTAAAGGTGTTAAAATACAGGTATCACAATCTTAATAAAACTTAATGACCCTAAAGGGTCCCTCAACAATATCTTCAACCGCCTGTATGACTGGAACCCCGTCAGACCTGATCTACGTCTCTGTACCTTACTTTCTGGTTACGTTGGCTTCAACTTTCTGATGATGGATAATTTGGTGCTGACCATGGGTACAAAAACGAATCAAATATATAAATAAAAATCCCTACAAATAAGTAAACAAATGAATAAATGCAGCTTGTGGATGGTGTGAGCTTAACTGAAGGCTGAGTGCCAGAAAAGAGACACACACCCAGCTGAACTTTCCTAAGACGGGTGAGGGGGGCAGTGATCACACAGAGGCCGCCCCGACTGTGAGGCAAACCTGAGGTCACACCTACAAACGTTCCCGAAGTAATGCGGAGAAGAGCGCAAGGGGCCCCCAGCTCCGCCGCGGGACTCAGCCAGCCTCGAAGCCAAGAGCATGTGCGGCCTGGACCGTCCTCGCCGAGTCCCTCGCCCCCACCTGTCTTCCATGGAGTCCTCTCGTCGGTACGGCGAGTTCCGGATCGTAATCTCCATGCGGTGGTCCCTCAGCTCCCCTTCCTCAAGGGAATCCCGCTTGGAATCGCGGTCATCAGACTAAGAAGCAAACAGAGAGTCATTTTCCCCAGACACGGTCTTGTCAGCGGCGGTCACACCCTGCCGCCTGCCGGAAACCCGTCTCCCGTCCGCTCTGAACGCGCAGTGCTCCGGGACCCTAAACCCTGCCCGCCGGCTCACACGCAGCCAGAAGGGACTCCGTAACCCCGGCCTGACCTGAGAAGTCGGGGCCAGCGCGGCGCCGCAGGGACTAGACTCTAGACCGAGCGGCCGTGTCCGCGCACCTGACCCGCTGCGAGACGCGCCCTGCGCCGGCCGTTCGGCCGCGAGCCGCGACTGCGGGGCCCCGAAGCCGACTTCGCCCGACACCCAGCACAGCTGCCCGGTTTCTCCGGACCGTGTTACGCAAACCGGGAAGGGAACGAAGGATGAAACGTTAACCCCAAGGCGGCCTCCCGGCAGACTGAGCCGGACACGGTGTCACCGGCGCACGAGCGCCGCGGGGGCGAGTCCAGCCGCGCCAGGACTCTGGCTCTCGGCGCGGTCCCGCCGCCCGCACACGGCCGAAGCGCGGCGTGTGCACGTCTTCGCCGCGCTCGGCCCGGCTCGGGCTCCCCTGCGACCGCGCGAAGCCGGCGGCACCGGCGCGAACACGCGCTGCTCTAGCGGGACAACGAGCGCAAAGAAACGGAGCGTCCTCGGGAAAAGCACGCACCGGGGCCGCGGCTTACGTTTTTCAGGCGTTTGATCTCCGCTTTCTCCTCCTGCTCCTTCCGCCGCTTCTTCTCCTGCAGGATCTCATCTAACGTCTTCACCTTCCAGGAGTCCTTCTCATCCCCCATTGGAGTGAGGGCGCTGCGGAGGCACGGCCGGCCCGTCAGGACGCGGCGACCCGGCCCCGGCTCGCGCCGCCTCCGACACAGCCCCGCGGGGGCAGCGCCGACCGCGCTCGCACCGCCGTCGCCGGGGCATCCCCGACGGCCCGGGGCGCGGCCTCGCCCCCGGTTACCTTTCCGCCGGAGCTCACGGCAGCCCCGCCGGGGGCTACATGAGATCCTCCGTGCGGAGCTCGCGGCGCGCTCCCCGGTCCTCCCCGCGCACCGGGCTGGCCCTCAGGAGGGTCCGGGAGCCGGGGTGGGGCGCTGCGACACGGCCGCGGCGCCGGGACCCTCGCCCCCTGGGCTCAGCCGCCACGAGCCGGGGTTCGGGCCCGACGCCGCCTCAACCCCCAGCTCCGCGCGGGGCGACGAGGCGGGAAGCGACGCCCGGACGCGAGAGGTCAGGGAGCTGGCTGCGCCCGCCGCTCGTTCCGGCCCTCCGCCACTCACCCCTGCACCGTTGCTGCTGCCGCCGCCACCGCCGCCACCGGTCCCGGAGCCTGAGGAGAAACAGCGCCCGGCGCGCGCCAGTAGCGTCGCCACTTCCTGCGTCGGCGCCGGCTGATGACACACGGGGGCGGGGCCCGCCGCCGGCTCGGGACCGAGGACATCCGGCGCGCTGGCTTGGCGTCACTTCCGTCCTGGAATTCCCGCGGCGGTTCCCCGCCCCGCTCGCCAGCCCCCGTCCGGGACCCGCCGGCTTCCGGCGCCAAGCCGGCCTGCGTGGTTTCAGGGGGCCGCAGAGACAGGGAGGGGGCGGGAAGGTAGGCGTCCACACTATGGCGACCAGTTCGGGCACAGAGGGCGAGTGGAACAGGGGCCGGTCGCCCCGGGCCCCGGGCTCCTGGGGCTGGGGCCTCCCTTCGCTTTTCTCCTTCGTGCTGAGAACTGCGGGCGCCCGCGGCTCCGTCGCGCCGACACAGGAGGGGCCCCCGAGGGAAACGCAGGCGGACAGGGTTCGCTTTATCGTGCTTCGGCCCCGCAACAGGCTTGACCGCCGCGCCCGTCCCCGAGCACTGCCCCGGCGAAGGCCGCAGCCCCGCACGCGCTCCGCTCCCAGCTGTGCGGTGTAGAGCGATGTAGCCGGTTCGGAGGCCGACATCCGTGCGGGGAAGCCACGGAGACGGGCCCTCCCCAGCCCAGCACCCGGGACGCCCCGGGCAGGTTCACACTCAGCTCACACGTCTGCAGACGGGGCTAGAAGTAGCCAGTGAACACCGATTTTCCTCAAATCTGGGAGAAGAATGGGGGGCGCATGGCGGGCTTAGTCCGGAAACATGTGGCTGTCGCTCCTACGATGGAGCCGCACTGCGGGGTGTGATGATTACTTACAATCTTTAAAACAGCGGGCGCTTCTGGTTACTATTACTACTTTTTAACCAATTATAATAGTTTCCAACTCCGTTTGGAATCTGGGCACCTATCCAGCGCCCATGAAACCCATAATCAGAACCTCAGGAAAACGAGTAAGTTCTGCAGAGATGGCGAGGTTGAAGGCTTTCCACCCAAGCGGCAGGCGGTCAGCAGACCCTCCCCTCGGGGCTTGGCTCCTCAGCCAGGAGAGAGGGAGACAGATTCACTAGGGGAGCTGGGGCATTCTTATTTCTAAACCAAGGGAAGAAAGAGGCCCCAACCAGAGCAGGTATGGACTTTGTGAAAGAATGAAGCCCTCAGTACATTGGTCAAAGGCAGAAGAAAAGACCTCCATGTGCACTAACTCCTTGTTTAGATTTTCCAACCCAGGGAAACCATGAAAACACTTGAGGCCTTGGGAAAGCACACCACCAGCCAGATGTAAAATGCCACGTGGTGCGTGTGTCATCCCTACCGGCCCATCCAAGGGGCCACTCACAGGCAGAACCCACTGGTTCTGGGAAAAGCATTTCCAGCGTGGCAGATGTTCTCTGTGCTGCGTGGGACTGTCTCTGATTCACCATGTGTATTTTTCCCAAATTAAAGACACATTTTGGATTGTGCAAAACATTCTCAGCTTTCCAGGGCAGATTGTTTTAATGCTGATATACAGGAAATTATGACTACTGGAATTAAAAAAAAAAAAAAAAAGCTTTTTAGGCCCTTCAGTGGAAGCTTCCTTGAAAGCCAGACATACTACATCTCTATGTATCAATGTAGGTGAGCAAATGACCTGATTTGACACCTGTTGGGAGTGTTTCTTTGCAAAGGCACAGACAACCATGGACACGGGAGGAACTGACCCAAGGAAGTGGTGACACCAAGTGTCAACGTTGATCCAAGCACATCCTGGGATGGCTCAATGAAAACATACTAGAAATACGACTACACAGATTTAATAAAAAACATACCATGTCTGTACATTCATTCCACACATGGCCAACACAGGCCACGGGTTTTGTCTCCTGGCAGGGCTGTCCTGGACGGAGACCAGACACGGGAAGAAGGAACGTAAGCCCCGGGCCGGTGCAGGGCCGCCCACAACTTGTGTTCTGAGGAAATGTCTCAGAAGCAGCTTTGCTGGAAATGACCTCATTTGCTAATAATTCAGGAAAATCTTCATTTTGTTTTTGATTTTGGAAAATCGCACCCGCAGGCAGCCACTTGTGATAGGAGACAGGGCACAGGTGACACGCAGGGCGCTTGGTCCCTTATGAGGCTCAGAAGCAGGCACTGCCCATCTGGCTGCGCTGGGATGGCGACCTCCGTGAGGAAGGCGGCACGAAATCCTCTTGCAACAAGATGACCGCAGACGTGTCCTCCGCTCCCATCCCGTTGGCTGCTGGTCACGGCAGCCACATTCTCGAGGGGGGAGGCACGGCTTGCACAGCACCGTGCCTTCACTCTGGTCCTCCCAGACCCAGGCACATCCTGCCACCCCAGTCACCTTCAACGAGTCCCCCTCAGTGTTGTTTGTGGGGGAAGCCGCGAGGGAAGGGGATAGAAATGGGGCAAGTCTCATAAATGTCTTCACAGTGCAGGTGAGCTTGGCACGCAGGCCAGCACACACCTGCCTGTCCACTGGGCACGGGAAGTAGCTTCATGAAAAGGTTGTAGTTTCTTGTTTTGTTCGTTCATTTTTGGTGGAAAATGTGGGCATTGAAAAAAGGCTGTAGTTTTAAAGGCTTTAACCCGTCATTATGGCACGCTTCTTCAAGTAGGCAGAAGTTCATAAGACATAATTATTGCTCTTTGTTTCCAAGAGATTTGACCTTTAGGAGGGCCTGTTTTCACTTTCCCAGCTGAGATGCCAACCGGAAAACCAGTGAAGAGATGATGGGAGCCAAGGACTGAACAACAGGGAGGGGGAATCAGAAGAGGGGCTGTTAGCGCCCGAGGCCCTCCTGTCGGCTACTTCACTCGTCACGGCAGGCAGGTCTCAGGCGGCCGTGTTGCGCCCCAGTGTGCACGCGTGGCACCACAGAGAGGTCTTAAAGCCTGGCTGGCAGAGGACAGAGCCCCGATCAGAACCCCGCCATGATGTGAGAGGAGGAGCAGAGCGCAGAGGCCCGGAGCCCGAACCTTGCAAAGGGCTCAGAAGCCCCGCATGGTGGTCCGTCTGCTCCGGGAGGCGAGAGCCAGGCCGAGCCAGCCTGTGGGTTCACCGTGTTAATGGTCACACAGCACACCTTCCAGAAGCCACTTGTCCCTGGCCACCTGTTTCCGTCAACAACTCCACTGTCATCGGAAACGCAGGGTGACAAAACCGTGAACACGACAAATGTTCTTCCCAGCACCCCACTCCCTCGTTCATGAGGGAAACCCTTAGCATCCTTGTCCAGGAGACAAGGTATGGCGCGGCCCAACCAGCGGGGTGATGGCAGGAGCGCCTCTAGGGAACCCTTCAGAACAGCCCGTGGTACACACAGGGGCCCAGAAAACAAAAGGGAATGTCCGTATGTCCTTGCCTGAGCCAAACACCACAGATGCCTGTCTGTCCCCCACCTCTGTGACCGGCAGTCACCGCCATCACATCGGGGGTCTCTGAATGAAGGGCAGCCACAGGTGAGAGTTGGGACCCTCAGGAGGTCTGGGGCCTAGTGCAGCAGAGACCCTGAAAGGGGTGGGGCACCTTCCCTTCCATAAGTGGCCTTTCCCTAAGTGGTACCGGCTGCCGACAGCTCTGGGGTGCAGAGGATGCCTTGGGTGGAAGGGCAGGAAGGCAAGGGCCCACCGGCCTGCCCTCTTCTGTGCCCCTTCCCCTCTCTCCTAGTGGTCACCTGGCTGCTGTGGCCTCTGGCCCAGGGAGTGGCACCTGGGCCTTCTGTCTCAGCACGGCAGCCCGCCAGATGGCAGAAGGACGTGCAGGCCCGGGGACACACGGCTGGCATCAAGCAGTGGGAGTGGCGCATGTTGGCACCTGTGGCCGTCCCCCCGCCAAGGCATGGGGGCCTGGCCTCACTGCAGCTGGACCTGCGTACTGGTGAGGGCCTGCAGAGGCTAGCGTGGGTCCCAGGGCCCCTCATGTGTTCATCATGGGGTCAGCAGGTGGGGGTTTTCACATCACGTGGCTGTGGCTCAGATGCTGGCTCTGGTCTCTGCCCCAGGAAGCTGGCGTCTGGGATCCCTGTGCAAGTTCCCGGTGGTTTTCACTGAGAACTCAAGAAAGGAGCAGGGAAGGCGGCACATCCGTTGGTCTCCTGCACCCTACTGACATGAGGGGCTGGGTGTCCGTGTCAGTGAGGAGGACAGCAGCGGTGGGCAGCACCTCGGGGCCCCGGGCACCTGCCGGGGCTTCCACAGCTCAGTGGTGTGGCCGGGGGTCCTTGGGGGTCAGCGGCTCCGTGTCGTCCTCCGGTGTCCGGCTGGCGGCCACAGCCAGGCTGTGCATGGCCTCCTGCTGGCGCTGCTTGGCTTTGCTGTAGAGCAGGACGCCGGCCGTCACTAGCGCAGTGCCGGTCGCCGACAGGCCGGTGACGCTGTTGCCGAACACGATGACACTGAGCCACGTGGTCGAGGCGTGCTTCACAGTGCTGGCCACGCTGCAACGACAGAGGTTACAGCCCGGGCTTGGCCCACCGCCCGCGCAGCCCAGGGGCACTCCCTCGCCGGCTCCCTCCTCCTCACTTTCACTAGCAAAGGTGTCCAACAGAGCAGCAGGGACAGGTTATGACGAACGGCCATACTCCCATCCCGTAGACTAAACCGACATTTTGCTTTATTTGCTTCATCCTATTTTGGGACTGAAATATTTTTCAGTAAATCACAGACATTATGGCATTTTCCCCTAACAGCTCAGCGTTCTGCTGAAGGGCAGGAGAGCTCTGCAGACGCCGCGGGCGGAGAGTTACAGGAGCCACCCCAGAAAGGCCCCTCGGGGACTCCGTCTCTTGTGCGAGCAAGGCTAGGACCCGTAGAAACGCAGTTAATGTGAAAGACGCTGACACGTTCACAGCACTTGTGTCTGTGGATCTTGGGCTACGTGTGCTTTACTCTTAATACTTTTCTGTCTTTTCCAAACTTCCAATGATGAATTAAGTATCGCTATTACGATATGAATAAGACACACCAAAAAGCTATTTTCTTTAAAAAGAATTGGTTTTCTGCTTTTGCCCTTTTTGAACCATTGTTAACAATCACAAAAAAACAAAGTTTCAGGGATATTTGGAAATAATTCCTGGCCCCAAATGGATACCAAAATATGTGACAGAAACAGTGACCACTCCGGGCCTCAGAATGTAAAAGTCCTGACCGACTGTGGCTGGCACTCCTGCAGGCCTTCCCCAGTCAGGAGCCAGGAAGGGGGAGGGCCACATGGGTCACAGGGTAGGGCGCGCAGCTGGTGCCCCGCACGGCCGCCACACTGGGCCAGAGCAGCCTGAGCAGAGGGGCGACAGCCGCCCCAGGGAACCCCGGAGAGACAGAGGCCTGGCTGTTCCACGTCTCTGCTGCCTGTTCAGAAGTTAAAAAAAAAAAGGTCCACTGACTTCCACGACAACGTGGCCAAAGCTAAGAACGTGGATTTCTAGGCTTGCTACGGATACGGGCTCATGCTTTTCTGCTTGTTACTGAAAACTCTCTAGTCTTGAAATGGTGTTTTTATTAAACTCTTTAAGTTACAGAAAGGAAGAGAAGCCAGCAAGGCCTCTGGCTCGTCTCTGTTTCCAGAGTTGTGCCTCCAACATGGGAGCCTACGGCTACATGTGGCTATTCAAATTAAAATTGCTTAAAATTAGATGAAATTAAGAATTCATCTCTTGGGGGGGTGCCCGGGTGGCTCAGTGGGTTACGCTTCTGCCTTCGGCTAAGATCATGATGCCAGGGTCCTGGGATTGAGCCCTACATCGGGCTCCCTGCTCCGCAAGGCCTGCTTCTCCCTCTGTCACTCTCCTTGCTTATGCTCTCTCTTTCAAATAACTAAGTAAATAAATAAAACTGTAAAAGAAGAGAAGAATTCTGTTTTTTACTGCATTCACCCCACGTCAGGTGCCCGTGGCCCCCACTGGACAGCCCAGGAGCAGAACATTCTGGCATCACAGGCAGTGCCACCGACACGCTGATCCAGACCGAAAAACACTCAATCTGCTCCAGTTTCCAGGTGGGGCTCCCTACAGACTGATGTCCTGGGCCTCGCCGTAGGTCAGACAGCTCTGAACAGCATGGCATGGTGGTCACAACATGTGGCCACGGCCGCACTCGAGCCCCGGGAGCGAGAGCCCTTCACATCTGACGAGCATGGAGACGGTTCGTGCAATCCCTGGGCTTAAAGTCTGCTCCTCTGCAAACGAGCTGGACACACACTCTGTCTCTTGGGAAACTACTGTGCTCACCTGAACGTCACAGGGGAGATCTTGCCCATGAGGGCGTAGGCCGTGACGCTCTGCAGGTGGAACAGCACGCCATCCGTCAGCAGCAGCAGCACCACGTCCCGGCTGTAACTGAAGCTCCTCCCGCTCCGGCCAATCACCGGCAAGTCCTGTGGTCGGAACAGAAGCGACGCTCTGCCGTTGCCTTCTTCCCTTCGCAGAGCACCTCGGGGAAGTCTGTGGTCATGGGTACCCAGTCTCCTGGGCCCACAAGCTGAGGCTGAGCAGTGGTCTGCAAACAGCCTTCTCGCGCGGCACCCGAACAGCACCCACCAACCTTCTGAACGTGCCCGCGCACGGCCAAGAAGCCCACGAGAGGGCGCGCAGCATTACTGACTGTCTGGGAAACACAAACCCACAGCACCGGGGGAGACCGCCTCATGCGCGAACGCGGTGACCATCAATAACAGAAAATGGAAAGGACAAGCACAGGGGAGGAGGGGCAGCTGGAGGCCTTTGAGCACTGCTGGCGGGAAAGTAAAATGGTGTAGCCACCGCAGGAAAGTCCTCAGAAAGTTCAACAGAGAGCTCCTGCGAGAGGCATCGCACGTGTGGGTGCACGCCCAAGGAACCAAGAGCGGGTCTTGAATCGTTATGCGCACGCCCAGGTCCACAGCAGGACTGTCCACCAAAGCCGAAATGAGGAAGCAACTAGGCATCCATCAGTGGGGGGACGGACGGACAAACGGACTCGACGACTCAGATAGAAAAAGGAGGTTATGCACCTGCTAGAGCACGGAAGGGCCCTGAGGACACCCATGCCCAGCGACATAAGCCAGTCCCCAAAAGACGGATCCCATAGGATTCCACTTACATGAGAGACCTAGGGTCGTCAGATCTGCACGGACAGAAAGGAGAGTGTGGGTGCCACCGGCTGGGGGAGGGATGAAGGGGCTCAGAACACAACTATGCCACTCGGGCACCAGGATTATTTTGGGCTGAAGACCCTTAAAAACAGCAGGAGCACAAAGGGCCTGAGCTCCCTTTCCGTCCCTGAGAAGGAGACAGAGGCCACGTGGAGGCCCCGCGCGCCGTAGGAGGAAAGCCCCACACTCCTCGCAGGAGACTGAGAGCCAGGCGGACTCGCGGCCTCCGCCCCACACTCCCCTGCAGCCATCTCTCCCTGCTCGGCCTGGAGTGCGCGCACACAGACTCGCCCCTCCTCTGGTCTCCTCGTGAGCCTCCCATGTCACGTAAAGCTTATGTTAAATCAGTCTGTGGGCTCGTGTCCTGTTCATCGCCCAGCCGGAGGCCCCAGCAGGGAGAGGTAAAGCTTTGCTCCCCCAGTGGGGCAAGTGGGGAGTTCCTCTTTAATGGGGATAGAGTTTCAGTCCGAGATAACGAAAGTCTGCACATGGATGGTGACGGCTGCCCCACAACATGAACTTATCTGACGTATACTTTAAAATGGTTAGAATGGTCAATTTTATGCTTATGTACATTTTACCACAATAAAAATATTTTTAGATATGTACATCTTTCAATCAACCATTTCAATTCCAAGAATGTATCCTAGAGAAACACTCTTGTCCGCTAAAGACACGACAAGTGAAACTCGCTGTTCGTGTGAAATGTGCCAAGCAGTCAGGTGTCTGTTCAAGGGGCTGTGACAGATGAGGCACAGCCACACCCCAGAGCACACGCATAGGACAGAAGAGCCCAGTTCCATTTGTGTTTAAAAAAAAAAAAAAAGAAGGGGTGCCTGGGTGGCTCAGTGGGTTAAGCCTCTGTCAGCTCAGGTCATGGTCTCAGGGTCCTGGGATCGAGCCCTGCGTCGGGCTCTGCTCAGCAGGGAGCCTGCTCCCCGCCCCCGCCTGCCTCCCCCCACCCCGCCTGCCTCTCTGCCTACTTGTGATCTCTCAGTCAAATAAATAAAAATTAAAAAAAAAAAAAAGGTCTGCATGGACATGGACACACAGCTTCCTAAGACTGCTAGAATCATACCACACACGTGTCTACCCGAGTATGATCCTAGCCATGGAGACAGGGCTGGAAAAGGGCTTTGCAGGAGTGGGTCCAGGGGTGATCAGGAGACAGACCATCTCTGCTTTATCTACTCCTGTCCTGTTTCTTGCTCTAAGTGGGCACCTGTTACTTTAAACCAGTAATAAAACAAGCCTAAAAACCCTCACGCTAAGACTTCAGGATACTTCCGCAGCCTCAGGCTGGCCTTGATGGGCACACGCCAGTGTCTGATACCTCTCTGAGCTTTGGCTTCTCGAGTGCACACCAATGACCCCTTGTGAGTGATGTGGCAAGGAGCCGTCCCCGCCGTCCCCGCAGCCCGGACAGTTAGGTAAACCGGCGCTTGCCCGTCACCGCAGAGACGCGACGGCACAGGCAAACACCCGGCGGCATCCTGAGACTCACCATGAAGAAGACCCAGGCGGGGACCAGCATGGCCACAGCTGCGGCGCTGGTGTAGAACTGAAGCTCTGCGGCCCTGCGGGGGCAAGAGAGGCGCCTGATGCTCCCCCAGTGCAGCGGAGGCCAGGCTCCCGCAGCCCGCGCAGCTCCCGAGGGCCCGCATACTAGAGTCTGTGCTGTGCAGCCTGATGGGGAGGGTCTGGGAGCGCTCACAGCCGCAGCCGGGAACCAGCCACCCTTCAGGTGCCTCACGGGGCAGCTGGAAACAGGAGGGGTTTTTCTTCCAAGCTTCCACAAAGTAGTTTTATTTATTTACTTATTTGTTAAGGTTTATTTATTTTTTTAAGTAATCTCTACACCCAACATGGGGCTCGAATCCACATCCTGAGATCAAGGGTCGCCTGCTCTTCGGACTGGGCCAGTCAAGCGCCCCCTCCACAAAGTACTTTTAAAAGCCACGTTAGCCCAAGTGGGAAAAGCGTCAGGTCTGTAGGGGACCCTCAATTCAGATGGGCAAGAAGTCCTCTCGGGCCTACAAAACTGAGAGTTTCACGGGCGAATGATACTTACGAGAACCTGTATTTGTCCCCACTGAGGAGCTTTTTAGAAAAAACATTTTGCAAACTAGAATAGAGGAAAGAAGAGGTTAGCAGGTGATACAAGGAGTCAGCGTGGACCTCAGAGGACTCAGCATCTGCACCCTTCCTAGGCGGGGACAATGATGGCAGCCCCTTGGGGATGGCCCCCGCCCGAGGACCAAGAGCCAGGCCCACGCTGGGGGGTTCCTGGGCATTGCTTCACTGTAAGGGGGGGCCCCATGACCAGCCCCTGTTACAAAAGGGTAAACTGAGGCACTCAGCGATTAAGCGGTGTGCATAAGGGTCCCCAGCTCTTAGGGGTCAGAGGAGCCCAAAGTCCCTGCTCTAAGTGTGTACGAAACCCTGCCCTGGACTTCGAGTTCCCATAAATCAGTACCTGCCGTGGGCCGGGCCCCGGGGACAGACTGTGTGGGAGGGAGCGGACAACGGTCTGAGCTCTCGAAGACGCCAATGGAAAAATAATGGACAAAACTCCAGAACGGAATAGACCCACCAGAGGAGAAGAGGAAACAGTGCCCAGCTTGGCCACAAACCAAGGGGCTTGTCACATCTACCGGGGACTCAAGCGTCTGGGTCCCAGAAGCAGCGGTTGGTTTCATTTGGTTTTGATGCAAAAACTTAGTTGAGGACAAGGTAAGACCAAAGCTCTGGCTACAGAACTAGAAACCAGAACAATTGTCTGAGAAACACCGGCAGTGTGGGTCAAGGGCCCTTGTCCATGTTCACGGGCTCTGTGTCGCTGCTGGGAATTCACCCTGATGATGTCAGACACTTCAATGCAGCCTCGTGTGAGGAGGCCCTCCCTGCACATCCAGACAGAGGCATTAATCTGCAGGCGTCTGGTGCCGCACCTGGAGGCGGTTATGGGGCCCAGGCTTCTGAGAGCCCCCAGTGCCAGCACGCGATGCTCACAGGACCACACGGAGGGAGCGGGGCCAGACCCGGACCAAATGCACAGTGAGGCTGTATGGGATTTCTAGGAGCTACAAACGTAGAGGGGAAAAGCCAGAAGGAAATATACCTAAATGTCAGAAATGAAATTACAAGTGACTTTTAAATGTCTACTTGGCCCAGCACCGGAAACCTCAGGGTGAGCCTGTCTGACTTCAACAGGTATGGCAACGATAAACTCCTGTGTGGCTCTCTTCGCATTCCCAGAAGCAGGACAGACCTGGTGCCAGTCAGGACTTCTCCAAGAGCAGGGCTAGCCGAGGCCTAGTGTAGACTTGGCACGGCAGCTGGGATGCAGGGCGGCCGCGCTCACTGGTCTAAAGAGAAGTCTGCAACACAGGGTCTGCCCCTCTTGCTGTAGGACGAGGAAACGCCCAGGCAGTACTTTCCCTCCGGCACCTGACTGGGGCTGCCCCCTTCCTAGCGCCAGCCCTGGACACGGACCAGAAACTGCCCCTTTGTTCCAACTGCAAGATGGCCTCTTCCCCCTTGCTTAGCTGAACGCGGACGGACGCATGAAGCCACAGGGCACTCCGGCACGCTAGCTAACCGTGTCCTTACAAGGAGTGTTTCTTCATACCAAGACCACGTGTTGTCCAACTCTGGCTTGTTTTCTGAGAAAAGGCTGTCTTACTGGGACACAAACTGTTTGGGATTTCGGAAAAGCCAGCATCAGGTGTGTCCAGTGTGAATTATGGGATGTGATTCTGAGTTAATCTGGACTTGCACATCCATCACCCTGATCACACCACGTGCCCTCAACTCACCAATCCATGATGTTGGTGGACAACGCGGCTGAAAACCCCAGGACGTTGAAGCTTATCTCCGTGGCCGTGCACAGCGCCAGGCCCCCCATGATGGGGATGAGGGAGAGGTTGACCAGCAAGCCTGGAAAGGGCAAAATACACAGAAGGGAGGCCGCGTCAGTCCCCCTGCTGAAAATCTTTGCTGGGCGCCAAGGCTGTTTTCATGCCCCTCAAGAAAGCTGCTAACTTCCACTTGTGTTAAAAAACCAGCAGTTAATGATTCTTTACACTGGAGAGAAACAACACAACCACGTCCACGCCTGCTCCCAGCCCACCGCCCTCTCCCGGGCTGGGAACCTCACGAGGCTGTTCTCCGTGAGGCATGTCTGCAGGCCCGCGGGCGGGACGCGTGAGGCTGGGGCCCCGCGCCCCGAAGCCCCGCCGAGCCAGACACGGCTGTCGCCCAAACTCTCCCTTGAGAACGAGCGGTCTCCGGACCAGTCCGTCCACATGGGGGGCCGGGGGCGGAGGCTGCTGGACGCCCTGGTACAGGGGGTCTCCGGTCAGGAGCTGCACATGGTGAGGAGGTGACCTCTCTCAGCTCCGGCTTCGCTCTGGAGCCCGAGGAGCAAACGTGAGGCGGAGCTGAGGAAGTCCGTTGGGCAGAACAGAAACGCACATTCGCTCTGGAAACCGGGCGCTGGGCCTCATGCTGCTTCAACGCCGGATCCCATTTTGTTTACTCTGAAATTCAGTCAACGAGGGAAGAAGTCTTCCGTGGGAGAGGTCCCCGATGACCTTGGAGGACAATGGCCACCTCCCAGCAGAGGACCATGCTGTCCAGGCTCCTGTCGCTAGGGAGCCCCCAGACACCAAGAAGCAGCCCCCAGGCCCACGTGGCTGCCAGGCTAAGAGCTGGAGGAAGGGAATCTGGCCTGGCGGGCCTTCCGCCTGCCAGCATCCTCTCAGTTTTCTAGCATATAGTCTTGGCCTCCAGTCTGCCCAGAAATGTCTGCTGCATGACGGACTGTACTTGTGAAAACCCAGAGAATGTGAGGCCACCGGCAACCTCTTGCCCTTAGGAAGGACTTGGTCTGCTGTTGGGAGGCATCCACGGGCGTGGGCATGTGTGGGGTCTCAGGGGAGAGCCCAGGGCTTTTCTGGGGTGCCCCCCAGGCAGGCCCCACTTGCCCTCAGGCCTGAAGCCCCATAGACAGCTCTGCCCCAAGTCCCAGCCACTGCTCGAGAATCCGCAGACACCTCCATGGGAAGGGCGTCACACATCGGGGTCCCTTTTGTGGGTGACCCTCAGCTCTGGAGTCCTGGCCCCTCGGTCATTCTCCCCAGCAGATTCTCTTTGCTAAGTTTTTTCGAAACATTCCCACTGTTCTCAACAAGAGAGCGTAGAGCCACCACAGCTGGAAGCCAAACCCTGTTGTTTTCAAGTCACTGAAGTAAAGTTCGTGCAGCTGAGCAGGCCCCCGCCACGCAGTCCGCTTTGTTTCTGGAGGCTTGTGATTTCTAGGGGCCTGCTGTTTACGCCGATCGGACTGTCTTACCACCACCTCAAACGTGGTGGCTCTGGATGCACATGTGCGAGGGGTCCGGCTGTGTACTCCCCCTCCGCCACCCGCCTCGAGATCTTGTCGTTTTCTTAACCGAAGCGTGTGTATCTGCACCTCCACGTCGATCAGCCCTGGCTTCAGATGAGAGCCCGCGCAGCACACACTTCCTTCCGCTCCCCGCTTGTCTCCGTGGAACAATGCTGGATGGGCTCCGTTTTTCAAGGCTGGTGGGAAGAGCAGGGACGTGTGTAACGTGTAGTTGGAAACAGTCTGCTGTCACTGAAGGGTGGCGATTTGTAACACATCAGCTTTTTGGCCCTTATGGAAGATGGAGCCAGGCAGCTAAGAAGCAGGGACGAGAAGGAGTCTGTCAGAGGAGCTCAGGAAGGACACAGGAGGCGGCCTACCTGGGCAAGACTGCTGGGCGCACCAGCAGGTGACTGTCACCAGGCAGTCCCTTGCGTGACACAGAAGGCCGTCTCACCTTCTGGGACCAGTGACTCCTCCCTTACTGGCTTCTTCCTTCTTTCCCCAGCTTCTACGTACCCACCAGCCACCAGGCCTCTGCATATCCAAACAGCCTTGCACTCAGCTGAGGCGAAGAAGCACTTGCTGAAGCGAATGCGTGAGGCACTGTCACCGCTCAGAGACGTTCTAGGACAGAAGTCAAGACGTCCACCTCGGAGAGGCGAGCCTCAGTGCCCGGCTGCGGCCGGGGAAGGGGTAGAGGTAGGTGGGGAGGGGCGCCAGGCCACTCACCCGTGTACTCTCCCAGGATCATTCGGGACATGATCACAGTGAAAATGGGAGCAGAGCTCTTCACCGTCTCCGCAAACGAAACTGCCACATTTTTCAGGCTGACGAGACCCAAAACCACTGTCGCGAACCTGAAAATAAGCCAGAGGTGCCACGTGGCGGAGGAGGCCGTCTGTAGCCGCCCCCCGCTCCCCGTCCTGCTTGCCTCCCCGCTGAAGACTTGGGTCCGGCCCTGTAGCGAGGGGCCCTGTGGCCCCAACAGCGAGGTGCTGCTCCGCACACTCAGAGTGGCAGGCCCAGGGAGAGGAGGGGTGTCACTCTCAAACCATTCTTTTCTTTTAAGATTTTATTTATTTGACAGAGAGATCACAAGCAGGCAGAGAGGCGGGCAGAGAGAGAGGGGGAAGCAGGCTGCCCGCCAAGCAGAGAGCCCAATGCGGGACTCGATCCCAGGACCCTGGGACCATGACCCGAGCCGAAGGCAGAGGCTTTAACCTGCTGAGCCCCCCAGGCGCCCCTCAAACCATTCTTAAATTAGATTCATGGCAGTTCCAGAAGGAATCTGTTTGCATTCAGATCCACAAAACCAATACATTTGTCGTCCTAAAATCTAGACAGCCCTGGACCACATAAACTTTGCGCTGAAAACACGCCTGTGACCACGTAATTACAGCGTCAGTCGGCCAGCCTCCCGCTCTCGTGACAGCCAAGACGTTCCCTGCAGCTCTCAACCAAAACACCAGATGCCTCACCTCATGAGACCCACAAACAGCATGATCATGATGAAATTGGGTGGATAAGAAAGCCGGGTTTTGTGCTGATACAAACAGCAAGGAACAAATATTTTAACGCAGCCGATGAACGTGGTTGACAGCATCTGCACGGCACCTGAGAGGGGACAGAACAGACTTGCCTCCCCTCCCGGCACGCAGGCGCACAAGGCGTCTCTGCAAGCCAGACACGGCCTGCGCCCCGCACCCCCCGCTCCCCCCTTCCCAGGGGCTGGGCTCTTCCGTGCGCCTCTCACACGGACCTAGCAGCAACCTGCAGGTTCCAGGGGCCTGGCCCGTACCCCCCGAAGGCCATGGACCTCCGCTACCTAGCATGCTGGGCTCCCCTTCCAGCAAGGACAGGATGTACTTGTTGAGGAAGAGGGTACAGAAGCTGAAGAAGAACCACAGCGTGAGGTAGAGCAGAGCCCGGGAGCTCCACACGCCCAGCTCGGACTCGATGACGGTCGTCTCGGTGATGGTTATGGAAAGCACGTTCTCCTCGGGGGCTCCCTCGCTCGTGGTAAAAACAATTTTCTCGCTTCGGTGGCCCAAGAGAGAGCCCCAGGCAAGGAGTGGCTTCCCCCTGGGCTTGTCCGCGGGGCCGGGGGCCGGCTCTGCCGGTGCCAGGGGTTGTGCCGAAGCTGACATGCCGGTCTCCTCAGGCCTGCGGGCAGCACAGGCCAGGCCAACTCCCAGCCGGAGGTCTGCAGGGCGGAGAGTGCACAAACCACGACTCGCCACTCCCTAGAGAGTGCGGGCTGAAATGTTAAGGAAAAGAACCTGCATTATTGATTGTGGACATTTTAACGTCCTTAAAAAGTTCTAACCACCCAGCTGCTAAGTGTGGAAACGCAAACATGGAATTCCAGCCTTCGTTCCACCTCCATGTGCCTGTCCACTGCGCTGCAAGGACGGGGCCCCGCCAGCTCCCGTCTCCCCTCCCCAAGGGGCTGAAGACCAAAGGTTCCAGCAGCCCTTCCCCACGCGCCCACCATCTGCACAGAGGCCCCAGGAGGACCCCGCCCAGGCTGCCGCCCTCCTGAAGCCATCCCAGGGGCTCTGCACCTTTCTGACTGATCTGGGACCTGCCGAAGTCCCCGAGGACAGGCCTCGGCCCCAGCCCGCTCCTCGGGTCTCCATGCTGCGTCCGCACACTTGCTGCCTACCCCCGCCCTCGCCTCACGGTTCCTATTTTATCCCACTTTCCCAGCTGTTCTTCGCAGGAGGACTGACCTGCCAGAGACGCTGGCTTTTTAATATGTCCACTGGGTTTTAAGTTATAATCCCTCTATTTTTCATTGTAGACGTTCTGTTTGGTTCCACCTGAAATTGGTCTGCTTTTCTCACTGCATCTTGTTCTTTTTTGTTTTTAACGTAAATTTTTTTAAAAAGATTTTATTTATTTATTTGACAGACGGAAATCACAAGTAGGCAGAGAGGCAGGCAGAGAGAGAGGAGGAAGCAGGCTCCCCGCTGAGCAGAGAATCCGATGCGATGCGGGGCTTGATCCCAGGACCCTGAGATCATGACCTGAGCCGAAGGCAGAGGCTTCACCCACCAAGCCACCTAGGTGCCCCTTAATGTAAAAATTTTTAAAATAAACTTGACACCCAACATGGGGCTCGAACTCACGACCCCAGAATCTCCAACGGAGCTGGCTGGGCGCCCCATGTCCTGCTCTTTCCTCCCTTCTTACGTCTTCTCTCTCAAGTTCTCTAAGGCCCTGTACCCAAGACCTCAGCTGGCACCTGGGCCTTATTCACAGGCTCTGGCCTTGGGGTTGTGGGTGGGGCACGTCAGTCACCTCCAGCAGATCCTGCATGCGGGGCACTGTGCGCCCTGGGCCCAGACTGAGGGTTTGGGGTCTGCTTCTGTCACATGCCCCAGGGTGTCACTGGCCCAGGACCAATTTTATGCTACTTTCTTGACAAACCCTCAGCATACCAAACCCACACCTGCTGGTCTCAGACCTACGGTCACGGCCTCTCAGGTGAGCCTCCATCCTCTCCCCTAAGATCACAGGCTTAGTCAGACCTGGCTTCTCCGGTGGTGGGCAGGAAAGTTCTCCAAGTTCTGCTTTAAGCTGAGGCCCAGTGACAGCAGCCTGCCCTATCTCAGGAGGGCCAGGGTCCCACCTCCTTTCCCAGGGACGTCAGACCCACGTCCCCAGCCAGCCTCAAACGGGCTGTGCACCAGACTTCCTGTTCCCTCAGTTTCTGACACTGGGCCTTCCTCTTATCAGTTACACATCTAGAAGGACGTCTATCCTAGTTCACCCCTGGCTCCTGGCGTGGGCGGCGGGGGCATCCGGGGGCTAAGTTGGCCGTAGCACCACTGGGGCTTGGCACCCTGGCACCCCCAGCAGGACCTCCTGTGGGAGTATACGCTGCCCGCCCCACTTCTCTCCTGCTCATCTGCAGACAAGTGCTCAAGGGCTCCTCAAATTTAAGACTCTGAATTTCCGCACGCCCGGAAGCCGGCTTCGGTCCTGCTGCCAGGCCCCAGCGGCACCAGGGACTCTAGCCATCCTCCCTCCGCCTTGCCTTGGCCCCCGGCGTTCCTGGCTCAGTCCCCCATGAGCTCCGCACCACAGGCCCCAGCGAGCACTCGCGTCGCACCCTGGCCCACATGCATCCCAATCGTGGCTATACCCTACCCCAAATGCACTGCAGATCACAACGGGGTGTGCCTGGCCCTTCCAGGGACTTCCACTGCCCCCACGAGGACGAGCCCTTCACCACTCAGGGCCCCGAGACTGTGCCCCGCTCAGGCTCCTCTTCCCCAGCCCAGTCCCACTGTTTCGTTTGGGGCAATGAGGTGCTCTGTGCAGCTAGGACTGGCCAGGCCGGAGGGGATGTGGGGGGTCCGCCACCCCCACCGCTCTGGCTTGGAACCAGGGACTGGCTGCAAGTGCAGATCGGATGTAGAGACCCTAAGACCAGAGAGAGTATCCCCCCCTCCCAAGGGTCCCGAGGTCCCAGATCCTGGCTCCTTGCCCCTCCCCGCCTCTGTAGGCTCTGCCTTGTCAGGAAAGCCTCCCCATCAGGGCCAAGTCCCAAGTTCGAGGCCCCTAGCACCACCAGGTCCTCCTCCCCAGAGACCCCATCGCAGTGCCAGTCGCAGGTGCCCGGAAGCCACCGCTGACTGCAGAGCTCAGCTGCTTGCAGGACACGGAGGCTCCGCAAACAGTACAGACCAACAAACACCGCGAAGAGTGTGCCGGCGGGCAACTGACCCCTTCCAGCCAAGCGCCCCTCCCGCTGGGCTTCCACCGGAGAAACTCACTCTCCTCCTAAAGTCCATGTCATGTCCCCCCGAGAAGCCCCAGGACCAGGCGCTTCTGAGGGCCAGATCCTCCCTGCACCATGTTTGCTTGTGGTCGGAGGTTTAAGAAACTGGAAACCACCACTCGATGGCCCACATACTCCCGTATAAAAGACCTTCAACAAGACGTTGGTTTTCAGTCAAGGAGAGCCCGCGCACGTGGTTCCACACAGCTAGGGTCCCGCTTTCGTGCCTGAACCCCAGTGAACACACCCCCTCTGCTAACAAACCACCGTGCCACCAGGAATGTTATGGGAGCGTCTCTTCACGGGTCTCTGTCACATCTGTGCTTAGCAGTGACTCTGCTTGGTCGGGGGCGCCCACAACACAGAAGAGTCACACCGCTGACCTGCCCCGACCACCCACCCTCAGTGCCCCCATGTCTGGCTGCTCTGCTCCTGGAGGGTCCCATGGGAAGCACCCCGAACAGATGCCCCCACCCGAGCAGAGGTCCTCCATGCTGGCTGCATGCTCACACGCCCGAGCTCCCAGAGCTGACAGAATGCGGCCTGTCTCTGCGCAGACCAGTGAGGTCAGAACACTGTGGGCGCAGCCCAAGCACCAGAACGATTTCTAGCTTCTGGGCTGATCAAACGCGGCCAAACAGAGAGCCACCATGGGGGTGGGAGGGCACTCCCCCGAGGAGCCGGCGGTTCTGTCACTAACAGTCCCAGGCTGGAAACACCCAGCAGGACACACAGCTGGAACCACTGTCTCCGCGAGTGACAAGAAATGATAAAAGCAGAGACCCACGGGCGTGTGGCAGAGGCTACCTGCAGTGACAGGTGGTCCCGGGGGACCCATGTGTGATGCTCACACAAGTCGCTAGAAGATGGGGGGTTAACGTAGCATTTTTTTAAAAAGATTTTATTTATTTGACAGAGATCACAAGTAGGCAGAGAGGCAGGCAGAGAGAGAGAGGGGAAGCAGGCTCCCTGCTGAGCAGAGAGCCCGATGCGGGGCTCGATCCCAGGACCCTGGGGTCATGACCTGAGCCGAAGGCAGAGGCTTTAACCCACTGAGCCACCCAGGCACCTCAACGTAGCATTTTTTTAGAAGACTAACTGATTTAACTAAGTGAGAGCGTGCGCACAAGCACGAGAAAGGGGAGCGGCAGAGGGAGCGGGAGAAGCAGGCAGCAGCAGAAGAAGAAGAAGAGAAGCAGGAGAGCACAGAGCCCCAGTGCAAGAATGACCCCAGGACCCCAAGGTTATGCCCTGAGCCGAAATCAAGAGCTGGACACTTGATGGACTGAGCCACCCAGGTGTCCCAGCATTTGTTAGTAGCAAAACACAACCTAAACGTCTCCTGAAGGAGAAACCGATCCCAGCACATCACGGGACCAAGGCCTCTGCCACAAGAGCCAAAGGGCAATCTTAAAAGGGCTGGAGGTCCGAAATGATGGCACCGAGCACGGAGGGCGGTACCCAACGTGGTTCCCCACAGGGCCGTGCAACATGCCCAACACCCAATACTGATTCGAAACAAAAATATGAAAAGTTGTGGAAAAGAGCAGGGACCAGGGAACCCGGGCCGGAGTTCATGTGGTGGGGGCACGGCGGGGATGGGGCCCAGGGGAAAACCAAAGGGCGGAGCAAAGTGCAAGCATGTGTGCAGGGAGGCATCGTGCTGTTCTCCAGACTGTTCTGTGAGCTCGGATTTGTGCGTGCAGAAGAACCCCGTGCGCCAGAAAGCGGTTCTCCCAGAGCCTCAGCTGACGTTCCCAAGCCCCAGCACCTACACCGACGATGCTCGTTTAGGCCAGAGCCTGCTCAGTTAGAGCCAAACCTTCCTTTCTATGATGGATTCAGAGTTCAAGCTAGACCAGCTTCCAGTGAGGAATGCGGGGAAGGAGGGCAGGGCGGGCGGCCCCTCCCAGCGGACCAAACTTGCCTGCCCCTCCCCAGCCCCCTCCGGCCTGGCGTGCGGCCGCCCCGACCAGGCTTCGACCAGGCTTCGACCAGGCTTCAGAGCGTGAGGGCCTCTCCTGGTAACTGGGGGTCGCCTCACTCACCATCTGCCCCTTGGTGACCAGGTCCCCTTGGCTGCCTAGGAGCTTTCTCCCGTGCACTTTCCCCTCCTTCCACCCACACAGAGGCAGCCACCAGGCTTCTGGGGTGAAATGCAGCCCGGGCTGGAGACCCGGAGTCCCCGTCACACCAACCAGCAGACAACACACCAGCGCTTCCTTGCCCCATGTCCAGAATGGAGCCCAGAATCCCAAGGCAAATGCTCAGGCCACCAAGACACACTCACCTTCCGGCACAAGCTCTTTTCATGACCATCACCCTCTCCACAGACAGCCCACCCAGCTCGGTGATGAAGCAATGGGACAAGCAGGCCCAGGGACAGAGAGACCCCAGGCCTCGTGTGCAGCAGGGTGGCTCAGGGGCGGCAGACCTGCAAGTGTGCGTGGTTTCCACACCATGTCCAAAGATGAAAATCAGGTCTGGAGCAGCCTACGGCGTAACAGACACTGGCCCTGCCTCTGCCCTTCACGTCAAAAGACTCACTAATCACACCAGGATTCCCAGCTGCTTGTGTGCTTTTGTTTGGTGAGACAGAAACCCACAGAGGAGGGGGAAGGAAGCAAGAAAGGAAGAATGTCAAGGGGCTTGGCCAGGAGAGTGACCACACTCAGACTCCTCCTGGAGCTCCGGGGGCCCAGGGTCGGGGGCTGAAACAGGCCTCGGCCTACAGGGAAAGCAGGGACTGAGGATCACAGAGGGGCCAGGCAGCACCTCCCCGCTTCCGAAAGGAGACCAGATGATTCTTCTCTGGAGAATTCAACAAGTGAAGGACAGACCTTGAGTATGGAAATTAAGGCCCCAAGGAGAGGCTTGGATAGAGAACGCAGCCAGAAGAGCAAGGCCAGATGCTAGAGGAAAGATCTGGAAGGACGGACCAGACGCTGGAGGAAAGATCTGGAAGGAGGGCAGAGAAGGAGGGAGTAGGTCCCAGGAAGGTGGGGGGGACCAGGGAGACGAAGCGCTCAGCGACAAGGAGACGCCACCAGAAAAGGGGCCTTGGAGATCAAGGGCAGGGCAGAAGCGAAATCTC